CGGCCCCACTGGGAAATCGGAAGCTTCTCTGGGGCCGCCGGCAATCTGAGACAGCCATGTTAGGAAGGGCGAAATTTGCAAAAACACCTAAATTTTTCTTTCTTCAATAAGAGGCTTTACAAACAGGGTGACGCTGGAGTACTTGCGTAAATTCGGAAATAAGGATGTGAAATCGTTCAGCATAAGAAACGATGGGCAAAAAAACCCAAAGTGATGCCACACAAAAGATGGCTGACAGCTTCCTCAGGTCCATTTCTCGCGTTAAGTGAAAATCGGGTACGTGAGGGCTTGATGTTGAATTTAGGTCTAAGCGGTTTGCCTGCGACAAGTGTCTTCAAACGTTTGGGCCTCAAAAGACTAAACTTACTGGGTGTGGGTGTAAACGCTGAGACTTGGTCTCATGCAGTGAGAGGGCATGGAGAAAAGGGTTCTCCCGACTTTGGACGTTAAGGTTGGAGCAGGCAAAGATGAGGCCAGCTCCGGCGTGAGGCCCCAGGGAGTCCTGGCACCCACACGTGGAGCATCGAATGCTGGGGCTGTGGGCGGGTGGGAATGCCCGCTTTGCGTGGGTCTGCGACCTGGGGAAGCCCTCAAGTTGGGGACGGGGTTATAAACCCTAGAAAGCGATCTGTGGTCCTTAGCTTAGTCGTTCGTCCATCCGTAACACCTAGTGGAAATCTGGATTCCAGTCCCTGCTCTCCCACTAATTTGCCGTGTGCCTGAGAGCACCCTCTTCCCACATGGGCCTCCCTGCTTTTCCCAGCCTAGCACACTTTTCCTGGGGCTTTTGCATTCACCGTTACCTGGTCCACATCCTAGAATGCAGTCCTCCCCGATGTAGGTTGGCTGGCTCCAACATTCAGTTGTTTCCTCTGATGCAAGGGACTCAGAGCATCCTGTTTATGAAGTTAGCCAAAAAGTCTGTATGGTTTTTTCCATAAAACGAAAGGCACTTTTCATTTTCACCAATAACTTTATTGATTTGGGTATTTTGAGTATGTCGGTAATCTCCTGCCACTGGCTTCTACTGGGTAGAGGCCAGGGGTGCTGCTAAGCATCTTCCAATACATAATAGGACAGCCCCAGAGCAACAAATTATTTGGCCAAAATGTCAATAGTACCAAGAAACTTTGCAAACCACTTTTGACACATTTGATCAGTCACAGCACTTTCTCCATATGCTGCACAAATCTTATTTTTGCATTTCAGTTGCGTTTTTACCATTCTTGAAATCACAAAAGCATATGCCGAAAATGTTGCTTATTTTCTTCCATCAGCATTAAAATGGCTGCACAAAAATTCACCAATTTTTATAGGTTTTTTAATCTACACTGACATCACAGCTGTCACAATACAATCTAACAAAATTGTTTTGAATGAAGTTAAAAGGTAATGAAGCACTACTAGGGCCATTGTGCAAGAAAAACTAAACGAACTTTTGTTTCAGAGTGGCACGCAAGGCCACAATTCTCCGAGTGGCCTGTTTGTTTTGCATTCTCTCCGCTCTATCACAAAGAGGCGGTACCATCACCGAACGAAAGCTTAAACTTGAGGGCTCCTTGATTCCCCCACACTCTTCCATGGTCTACGGAGGGTCCCCAGCCATTGGCTCCTGTGATCCCATGGTTTTGTAAAACATGCAAAATATTTTTACCACAATCTCTTAAAACCTCTCTCTATTTGATTTCCCCTCTGTAACTTTCCTTTGTATTTAGTGGCATTTGGGATCCAGCTAGAAGAAATCCAACTGGGAACCTTTCAGTTTAGTAGACTACATTATATGTATAGTTAAGTTATTGCTGGCCTCCGGCATGGAAGCTCTACTTACCATTCACTGCGATCAGTGAGTATCCTCAATGAAAGGGGTATTTAAGGGTTCATTGGGACTGAAAAGCTTGAATTACCTGACACCTTACAGTTCGTACCAAAAATTTGCTATGGGTTGCCCCAACTCTGACAATTCTCAAAATGTTCGTGACATTACTGAAAAGGAATTGTGAAGTCAGAAGTCTTTCTAAATTACAAATAAAAAAATAGATCTAACGTGCCAGAGCAATGATTTTCAGCCTTCTTCATCTCATGGCACAGAGAAACTAATTACTGAAATTCTACAACACACCAAAAAATGTATTTTTTGCCGAGCTGACAAAAAATAGGTATAATTTTTATTCCTTCACAGCAGACGGCTGTTGTTATAATAGTTATCGTCATTTTTTCATTCGACAATCTAGGGGAAAAGAGGTCAGGGCCCCTGACTACACAGTCGGGTACTGCATGTTCTAAAAATTCTTGCAGCACATGGGTTGAAAATAGCTGTTCTACAGGAAAGGCTTAGTTACTAATTTTTCATTATGGAAAATGATGACACAAAATTGTCAGAAAAGGGGGCAAAGCATATTCAGCTTAAAATAGAAAAAAACAGTATTATGGAGGCATTTAAGAATGTTAACAAATGTGTTTCTTTTCTGGATTTCATGATGTTTAAGCCATTTGTCAGCTTTTTAAAATTGCAAATTGCAATTCGTGATTGCATGATTTCTCCCGTGATGTGTGTTGCAATTCCTTGTTCTAAATGTCCTCCTTCCTATCCAGTTTTGATTTTGAAACTTTCTATTCTCTACCCTTCACGTAAGCTTCGGTAACCAGAAACGTGGATTCCTTGTTTATAACCATCTCACACACACATTTTATTTATTTATGACTTTCTAACTCTCCCAGATTGTACACCCGAACTAAAAGAATAGTAAAGGCTCCGAGAGGACCTTCCTCACTGCCCACTCTCCCTTTCCTTTGTTGATTCCTCCGCATCTCTCCAATCACGAAATAATGGGCTGCCCCTTCACCCTGGGTGTGGTCTCTTCCTGCTCTGCCTTCACTCTCAGGGCGGCATAGCCAGTCCACCAGGTTTAAATATCATCCGTACGCTGTTGACTCCCCACATGTCTCCATCCCAGACCCCACCCCTGAAGTGGGCTCAGTGGCCCAAGTGAGTACCTGGAAGTCTAACGGGCACCTCGACCTCAACCTGTCCAAACTGAGCTTCTGATTTTCTGCCTCGACCTTGTTCCTCCCACAGTTCTCTCCATCCTAGTTAAGGGCAACTTCATTCTTTCAGCTGCTCAGGCCCACGCCTTCAGAACCATCCTTGACTTGACTCCCTTCCACCACATTTTTGATGCATCTGCAGCTTGTTGGCTCTGCCTTCTAAGTATCCCAGACCGAATTCTCACCACCGTGTCTGTCATTCCTGTCTCAGCCTCCATCATCTTGTTTGCATTGTAATAGCTACTCACCCTTCCTGCTTCCAATTTTCTATCCCTGTTTGTTAGAATTGCATTTGAATTGAAACAGGCCATTGCTTGGCAGGATATTAGTTCACTCAGAAATGCAACTTTGAACTGCGATCAGCTAGAACTCTATTACAGACTCAAAACTTCTGATCATGGGGTAATTTTGCAAGGCTCCCTTGCTAACAAAAAAACAGTATTTCAAAGGGAAAGAAAGTACAGACGAAGCTCCTAGAATTTTACCCGGGAGAGTTGAGAGAATTTAGCAGCTGAAAAACTGCCCTGATTTTCTTCAGCTTCTTTTGCCTGGGCTTTGAGGCAGGAATTTCTCTGATTTAGAAGAGCCGTTAGTTATATTTTATAGTTGGCCTGGGCTCTTCAGCTGGGTTCATTTCAAGCTTCACTTCCCGAGAGCCTCGTAGTTCACTTACTGTCCTATTTGATTCACTCTCCTGAGCACCGTCTGTCTCGCAAGCGCCTGCCCACCCTTTACTGCCATAATCTGTGGGGCCTTGGGAGGGCAGTAGCTCAGTCTTCGTAAATCAGAACTAGAAGCATTCTTAAGGATCTTCGGGTACAGGAGCCCATAGATAGAAAGAAAGAAAAAAACCATGAAGTAGCAGAATTTTTCCTGACCACAGGTTAAACTGTATCCCTTCTTTCACCATAGACATGGAAGACTATTGTTCTTGCCCACAAATAAATATTCACTTACCCTTCTGAAAACACAGGGTCCATTCTCTGTAGCCTAAAAGAACAGTTCTCAAACTGTTAAAAACTATAGCCCTGGCTGGTGTGGCTCAGTGGATGAGTGCTGGTCTGGGAACTGAAAGGTTGCCGGGTTCCATTTCCAGTCAGGGCACGTGCCTGGTTTGCGGGCCAGGGCCCCAGTTGGGGGCCTGTGAGAGGCAACTGATCAATATATCTCTCACACATTGATGTTTCCCTCCCTCTCTTTCTCCCTCCCTTCTCCTCTCCCTGCCTCTCTCTCTTTTTAAGTTTTGGGTTTTTTATAAAGATTTTATTTATTTATTTATAGAGGGGGGGAAGGAGGGAGAAAGAGAGAGAGAAATATTGATGTGTGAGAGTTGCATCAGTTGGCTGGCAACCCAATGCCCTGACAAGGAATTGAACCAGCAACCTTTTGGTTCGCAGGCAAACAATCAAACCACTGAGCCATACCAGCCAGGGCCCTTCCCCTTTCCCTTAAAATAAATAAAATCTTTTGAAAAATCATCAGCCTTGTACACTTAATGTGGAAATTTTACTGTACGTAATTTCTACCTCAATAAATTTGATTTTTAAATTATAGGTACAATTAATAAAAAAGGCTAACCAAAAATTTTTTGGAACTTACATGATGACAAAAGATTAATACCATAATTCCCATACCAATAAAGAGTGTTCTTATTTAATTGTTAATGAAAGAACCAACATTACGACAGAGCTGGTTGGAAAGGACTCTGAGAGTCGTTACTGGGCGAAGGAACGCTGAAACGTGACTGCTAGGTTAGGGCCTAACCCTTCCGTGCCCCACAGGGTAACTATTTAAAGACAGTCAGTCACCTTTGGGGCTGGCTCTCTTCTCTGTTGGACACACAAAATTTATGGTACCTTATCGATTTCCTGCAAATTAACATCTAACTCTACAGCGTCATAAACCATCACTGTGTCCTAATCAATTGTCAGTCAAAGTTAAATTTCCCCAGAACGTCAACTGTTCCTTATGTGGGTTTATTAAAAATTCTCCAGCACAATATTAAAAAAATCACATAATCATCACATCATATTGTCAGCTACTCCACACGTTTTCATTATTCGACGTTTGAAAACAACGGGAAATATATTAACTTCCTGTTTACCTAAGAACAACAACAGCACAAGCACAACAATAAGTGGCAACTGCCTGTCAGCCTCGATGTGGAGGTAACGGCAAGCAGCAGACGGCGGCAAACCCGAGCACCCTTCCCCCTCCGAGGGGGAAGCTGCTGGGCAGCTCCGGCCGATTGTCGCCACGTGGCAGAGCTGGTCCCGTACTGACACACCGTCCCATTGTTAAGCGCATCTGGAAATAGAACATTTTATAGGAAAGCTCTCAATTTTTAAATATTAGCAACCAGTTCAAATCACCCTAAAATATTGTAAAGGTCAACAGGATGAGGGAAAGAACGGGAGGAAAGCCAGCCTGCTGCGTCTGGCCTGAGCCAGGGTCTTTAGCAGTTTGAACGAAAACTTCTCATGGGAAGACTGAGGCCCAAAGAAGGGAGACTTCCCCAAACCATGAGGTAAGTTGGGCCGGAGGGGACTCAGAGCCCAAGTCCAGGATTCCCAGGCAGAAGCTTTTCCCACAAGGCAAACAGAGGTATTTTCTTTGTCTTCCATCAGATGCTTCATGTTTTATTCACTGACTGACCAAATATAAATGACTTGTGTATGAAAGCTTGCAGTAGCAGTAGGTCAAGTTCAAGCCAGTATGCTATGCACACTGTTGTGTAGGTTTTGCACGCATCCTACCCTTATTTATATTAATAACTTTGTGCCCTGCTCGGTACTCACATCACATCGTTTGATCCTGTGGTAACCACACACTATAGGCACCACTGTTACCTCCATCTTACAGATGAGGAAACTGAGGCTCAGAAAGGTAAAGTCACTTGCTCGAAGCCACAGCCCACAGATTTATGGCTCCAAAGTTGATGGTTTTTACCACTGGGCCAGACTATCTTTACTCATTCATTCATTCCATCAATCAGTCAGCCAAATAGCTGCAATGTGTTGGTGCCAATTGCTGAGCAAAGAATTATGGGGGAAAACAACTTCAAGCTCCAGGTTGTAGACTAAGGCTGAGGTTAACTGGGTCCACATTTAAACCTACATCCTATTCTTCTAATCCAAAATAACCAGTGGTTCCTGAAACAACCTGAAACAGAAGGTGGGGCTGTATAATTTATACTTCAAAAGTTGATTTAAAAACTAGAAGCAACAGCTCCCTCAGGGGTCTTGTTCAAATTCAAAGATTTGTGACAATGCAAACATATTCGTAGACCAGGCTTCTTGAAGACCAGACTCACTGGTGGGAGGAAGACAGTGGTCTTCCCTGCTAGGATGAAGGGTTTGGAGGTTACCTGAGCTCAATGGTGTATGGATCCTAGAGACGAGAAGAGAATTGAGCTTTAGGCAGCCGAGGCCCCTTCTATTCTACAAAGAGAGACTGGAGGGATGAAGACTACCTTGGAGGTTATTACACGGAAAAAAGGAGGGATGAGTAATAAAGTTATTTCAGGGTCAATTCAGGAGGCTTGAGGTATAAATACACAGATGTCACTTCAAATCTCTAGGTTCTTCATTTAAAAAAGCCGTGTGGCCCTGGCTGGCTGGCTCAGTTGGTTAGAGCAATGTCCCCATACGCCAAGGTATTGGGTTTGATCCCTGGTCAAGGCACACACAAGAAGCAACCAATGAATGCATCAATAAGCAGAACAACAAAGCGATGTTTCTCTCTCTCCCTTTCTAAAATCAATCAATACAGTTTTTAAATTAAAAAAGCAGTGTGATGGAAAATCCCAGTTCTTCAACTTTCTAGCTTTATACCCCTGGACAAAATTATCAGACACATGCCAGGAGGTCTGGGTATGTGAGTCCTGGGGCAAGGCGGTAATCAGAGGGTTATCCAGACGTCTGGTTTATGTCCAGATGTACGTTCAGGCAAGTTAAAGAGTTACCTGGAAAGTTAAAGAGTAAGTTACCAAGCTAGTTAGAACGAGAAGAGTCTTTCCTCATGTCTCAACCTCCACACTATTCATTTTAGCAACTTGAAGTGACTCCATTTTATACATTTCTTATCCTCACTCCATCCTCGGGTACAGGGTCGTGAAGACTCTCACAAAACAGCGCGCCCAGTTGCATTGTTGCTAACCCGAACATTACCTGTCTGCGGAATCGTCGCAGTTTCCCGTTCGGACTTCTCCCACAGGACTGTGAGCATCTCGGCGGGAATGGGGTCTGATCCCGCGTCCAGAACTTAACGCAGAGAATTACTTGGCTCGGTGACTGGCTTTCGGACTGTAGCGTCGCTCGGGTGTAACCACGATGAATTACAATCCTTCGTAAATCAGTGATCGACGCCGGGGTCACCGAAAGATGCCTGAAGGGATCTATCGCATTCAGAAGCTATTACTCTTCGGTTCGTGGTGACAGACAAAATTTTAACATATTTTCATTTTCCTACTTACACTATACAATTGTGGGGAGTATTTTTTCACGTTCATTGATTTAAAATTTATGTTTATTTCTCCCTCAAGTTTGGCTTCTCAACATTTATTTCCGATTGGCTGCATATCATCTTAATGTGATTGGATAACGCGTTTGCCCGTTACCTTTCTCTTGAGCCGATAGAGGAAATGAAAAAAAAAATGTCCTAGGTTCATCTGTTTTATTGGCTCCGGTGTCGGGCACTTCAAAAATATGATTGGTTCTAATGCCCGCCAGTCACTCTACCGGAAACCAATTCTATTGCCCGAGCTTACCAGGTTGAGGGGAGGGGCTTAGGATGGAAGAGTTTTCATTGGTTCGGAGCGCTCGAGCTCGCGACAGGAGATCCGCGCCCGCTCCGTTGCCGTGGTTGCAGGCCGTACCTACAGCTAGCCCGCTGACAGCGAGGCTTAGGGCGGAGGGAAGAGGGTCGGTTGGTCGGTCCGGAACGAGGCTCCAGCGGCCAGCCCCGCGCGGAACTGTTGCCATGGCAGCCGCCGCCGGGGGCGCGGACAACGAACCGCGATCCGGTCGCTCGAGCTCAGATGGAGAGTGCGCGGTAGCGCCGGAGCCGCTGACGGGCCCCGAGGGCCTCTTCTCCTTCTCAGATTTCGGGTCTGCGCTTGACTGCAGCGCGAGCCTCCCGGCCCGGGGGTCCAGCGGGGCCCAGTCCCCGCTGCGCTACCTCCACGTCCTGTGGCAGAAGGACTCGGAGCCCCGCGATGAGCTGCTCCGTAAGATCCCCGCCGGTCGACTTAGGCGCGCCGCCAGGCCCCACCGCCGGTTCGGGCCCATGGGCAAGGAGGTGCACGGTGAGGAGCGCGCGGGAGGCAGGCCCGGTCCTCCTCGGGGATCCAGGCCGCGTCAGTCTAGAGCTCTCCAACGTCCGATCTAAGGGCCCAGAGTGACCCCTGAGTGTCCTTTTAGTGGTAACAATTAGTACGTATAACTGCTAAGGACTGTGAATGGAAAGAAAAAAAGTCTTCACACTTGGCAATTCCTGAGTAGAAACTTCTCCTGAGCGCAGATGTTTATTAATAGATAATAAAATGGGGCACTGGGAATACTTTTACTATGGACAGTGGGGAGCAGGCGAGCCGGTCGCCAAGTCCTACCAACTTGCATCAATGCGCAGATCGGGACTGCACTCCTCTACCTCGGTTCCGCCTGAGGCAAACTGTAGAACGTTTGGGCCTTAGTTTGCTCTCTTGTAAAATGAGTACAATACCTGGGTTACAGAGACTTTGTGAGAGTTAAATAAGCCAATACATATATGTAATTATTACCCTGCTTCTGTTGTGCCGCCAAACCCTGTTGTGATCATTTCTGATTTTCACAATAATAACTCACTCAGATGCAGATATGGATCTCATTTTAGGGAGAGAAACAGGCCCAGAGAAAATGCCTTGCTCCAAGACACTTAGCCAGAAAGAGCATCAGGCTGTGCGAGCGTTAAGCCCAAGTCTGCCGAACCCAGGCTCCTGCTCTAATGCGTCTACCGTATTGTCCTTGCAATCTGAGGGTGAGGTGGAAAGCAACGGGGGAACAATATAAGAATGGAGACTACATTTGGAGTCCCTCCTAGTATTGTCTGTGCGACTCCACCCACGCCTTAGAAGTTTTACAAAGATTAAGTAAGAATTTAGAATAGAGTGCTGTATAATCTGTCAAGTACTCTGTGAATGTGAGGAATCATTGTGTATCTGAGTTGCAAATTTTGACCATTTTTCTGAGGATGAAGGCCTGGCCTTCTATTAGCCTCTAATACAGAGGTAGTGCCATTGTAGGAGAAACTGTTTCTGCTGAGGGATTACCAAATTTAAGTCATTTGGGAGTGGCCTGTTGTGAAGGAGAATGTAAGATTATCTGTGTACCCTGTTCACAGAGAACTTCATGTAAACATCTCATCTTGTCTGGCAGTAACTCAGGGCTGTCGGGATAGAGCTCAGCCTTGTGTTGTTACAGGTGGTAGACCTGAGGCCCCGGAGGGTGAACTAACTTGCTGAAGCTGCCCAGCTACTACGAGTGGCAGATTCAAAATCTGGCTCCAGTGGCCTTGGCGGGTTTGCTGCAGGATGGGGCTTTTGCACAAGTTGTGCCACATTTCAAGTTTCTCCTTGTCCTCAGGCCAGTGACTCTTGTATCCTGGCAACTTTCTTTCTCTTTAGATGCTACTGTGGCGGAATGGTGCGTTAACTAGGAAGCCATCCACTTTCTGCTTTATCATGGCTAGTGCTGGTGTTGTTTTTTTAAACTGGCACTCGTGTGGCTCAGTGGGTTGAGCACCGCCTTGCAAACCAAAGGGTCGCAGGTTAGATTCCCAGTCCAGGCATGTGCCTGGGTTGCAGGCCAAGTCCCCATTTGGTGTGGGAGAGGCAGCCAATTAGTGTTTCTTTCTATTTTACCTTCTCTCTAAACGTAAGTAAATAAAATGTGAAATAAAATAATTTTAAAAAATAAACTGGCACTCTCTTACTCTCTTCACAGCTCTGAAGAGGCTGAGGGACTCGGCCAATGCCAATGACGTGGAAACAGGTGAGTGTGCAAAGCGGATCCAGCTCCATGGGTGGGTTAGGGAGGGGAAATCCCGGTAACCTGGGAAGACAGTGCGTGAATTCATTCAGTCCGACAGCTCATCCCACAGACCCTGCTCACGGCAGAGTCATCTCACAGAAGTTACGCCTGGCTTCGATGCTCGCTTCCCATGCTCCCCTGTCCCCTTGGACTTCCTGATATCTTAGTGTTTATCTCCCTGTGGTCAGTCTCCATGATGGTGGGGACCACACCTCCCCACTTGTCAGAGAGGAACTTTTGGGAACTTCTGAGCAATGGGATTGGACCGTGGGTTTTAGCTGTCAGCAGAGCCTCTATCCGCACAGAGCAGCCACCTTCAACTGCTCACTGAAGCTTAGTGGTAATTGGGTCACTGGTTCTCAAACTTGCTTTTTGGCAGAACATCTAGAAGGCATGAGAGGGGCTCCCACAGGACTCCACTCTGCTTTTGGGGATTGTTTTTTGTCATTGCTCCAGCACTCACTAGGTGATAGGGCAGTAGCAGTATCAAAGGGAGAAGGGCAAGGTAGAGGAAAACAGTTTTAATTTTACCCACTGACTTAATTCTTTCTGTAAATCAGGGAAAAGTGGTATATTCATTTCTACGGCTACTGTAACAAAGTACCACAAACACAGTGGTATAATACAACACAAATGTATTATGATACAGTTCCATAGGTCAGGAGTTCAGCACAGCTCCCACCAGGCTGAAACCAAGGTGTCTGCAGGGCCGTATTTCTCTCCGTGAGCATCTGTTTTCCTGCCTTTATCAGCTTTGAGGGGCCACCCTTCTCCGTCTTCACATTCAGCAATAGTGGACTGACTTCTCACACTGCCCTTCTGTGAACCTCCTAGCAGGGAAAGGTTCTCTGATATTAAGGACTCATGTGATTAAATGGGACCTGAATAACCAGGATAATGTTCCTAGCTCGAGGCCCCTAACCTTAACCACCTCTGCAAAGTCCCTTTTGGGTGTGTAAGGTAACGTATCCATAAATTCCGGGGATCAGGTCGTGGCGTCTTCGGGAGCTCTTACTTTGCCTACTTCCAGGCGACATGATTCTGTTTTCGTGGCGGGATGCTGTGGTCAACAGAAGAAATATGAGCATAGATTGAGGGCCTTGGGAGAGATGATCCCGTGCACAGCAGGTGTGGAGAGGAGGTTGTTCAGCTCAGGGGTTGGGGTGTTGCACTGTGGGCCTCAAAGTGGCGCCCCTGTCCCTGGCGTAGCATCATGAGCAGGCTTGGCAACTGGAGCGCTTTTCAGCCCTTCACTTTAGTCTCTCTTCCGTGAACTTTAATATTTTGGAATATTTGGGCAGCAACCTAGATAGCTTTTCGAGGAAAAATGGTAAGTGTTCTCTTTTTATTATCTCTGGGGTGTGACCAGAGAATATTTTAACTAAACTTCTCTTCCACAGAAAGTCTAATTAAGCTTGAATCAGGTGTTCATGTGACGGTTTTATTATTTGCACAGAAAGGATGTACTTTTCCATTCAGCGCCTCTAACACAACCTCAAATCTAAAGGGCTGTTAGATTTACCAGGCTCTCGCAGGCTCTGAGGGCGAAACTGGCCGTAGGGGTAGCCTCTCCACTCCTTTTCTTTTATGGTTGGCATTTTGTTTCTTTTGTGCACATTTATCTCTTTTTTGTACAGTTTAGCAATTACAGTGGACACAGAATTTATCCCCTGCTATTGTTAAATCATAACAGCTGTTCTATGACTTTATAATCATTGAAAATATTTTAAGTATGGAAATAATATATGCATTTAAAATACTTTAAATCCCTCACCTTTCTCCCCCTCTCCTTCCCCTCTAAAGATAAATAAATAAATAAAAAAAAAAAAAATACTTTGGAAATTGACAAGTAAAACATCCATAATGTCAGCAAAGAATTTAATCTCTGTTAATATTTTGGCAAATGTCCTTCCAGTGCTTCCTATGCAGAGAAATTTTATGTTTTTAAAAATTTTTTTTATTGATGTGAGAGAGAGAGAGAGAAAATGTTGACATTGTTGTTCCACTTAGTTGTGCATCATTGGTTGATTCTTACATGTCCCCTGACCAGAGATCGAGCCCACAACCTTGGGGTATCTGGACGATGCTCCAATCAGCTAAGCCACTTGGCCAGCGTTCTGCGCAGAGGAATTTTCCTTATGGGCTTGCACACTGTGCTTAGTTCTGTAGCCTACATAATCTTTTGTGTATCGTACAGATTTTTCATAGTCTTTGTTACCCTTTGTTTTTCAAAATGGAAGTGTCATTTTCCCACTTATGAATGGATATGTGACTGTATGATTTTTCTAAAGCTTATAAAGTAAAAAGCAAAAAACCCTTTAACACTCCATTCCCCAATTACAGTCACAATATTTAAAGGCTGCGTGTGCACAATGCCTTTAAAGGGACCAAGAAAGAGCGAGTTAGTCAGTTACACATTTGCACACTGGCATTTCACTTTTAAGCTAACTGCCTGGGTATGGGACTGTCATATCAAAGCCTATGCGTGTTTTGATGGCTTCTGATGGATGTCACTAGGGTGCTTTCCACAGACTGTGACTGCACAAACCGCAGAGTAGAACCGGCTGCTTTAGTGTTCTGTGTCTCCTTGGGACTGGCTCTCTTTTGGTGACTGGGCAGGTGAACACTGGGATGCCCCACATTCTCGTTTCCGCTGCCCTCTCATGAACCTTCGCCCTCATTCATTCATTCAGTCAGCCGGCCACCTTCACTGCGCAAGACAAGTAATATCTTGGTCCCAGGTATGAAGATAAAACAAAACCCTGACGATATAGTTGGAGGAGAAAATAGTAAAGCAACAGCATTTCTCAGACAAACCCCCTGCAAACCCGAGGTTATATATTCAGTTGGAGAGGTGTACGTTCTGGAGCCATGGAAGTGTGTGTTCATGCCCCAGCTTGGCCTCCTGTCAGCTGCGTGAACTTGCCTTGGGCATGTCACGTGACTTCTCTGGGCTGGAGTCACTGGGTCTGTGAAATGGGCCTGATGCGTTGCTGGGTGGCTGAGGGGCCTGGCCGTCAGTCACCTGACACGTGGCAGGGGCTCAGCGTACTGTCGCAGTGACTCTAAAATGGCATAGCACGTTGTCAACGTAAGAGCAGCAGGCTGGACTCCGGTGTGGGAGGGCGAGTGGCTAACTTAGCCTGGGAGACAGGAAATATTCAAGGAAGAGATTCCTGGGCCTAGTCTGGAAGGACTCAAGTCCCTGAGAGGTTTGCTGAAGCAGACGCAAATGTTCCTTGCCCTAAAATGCTGTTGGCAGCAATTTCTGCCTTTTAGTGGGACGTGTACATGCAATAGCTAATGCCTCGAGTTTTATAATGGTTCCGTGCTTTTCAGAGAAGGAAATTCACATCCATTATTCTCATCACAGCAGCTCTGGATTGTAGGGCAGCAATTACTGCCATTTGCTGGTGAATTGGGGCCCAAATCTGGGCCCTCTCACTCCCACCCCAGCTCTTCCCAGTGCCCCACGCCATTGGCAATGTGCTCCTTCCTTTTTAGCTTAGCTTAGCCCGGGGTTTCATGTGTGTGGCTCCAGAACCTGTGCTCGGTCTACTCGAAAGGGCTACCTCTTAGGAGCAAAGCAAGCACTGACCAACAGCTTGGGCAGCTGTGTCCAGCTGGAGTGGATGTGTATCCAAGTTTAGGCGGTGGCATGGGGCCAAGTCCGTGATGGGGATTTCTGTGAGTCTAGAAGTCCTGACTCTGAGGATCAGGATCCTTCTATCACCAGACAACGAGTCTGAGCACCCGGAATCCGTGGTTGTAGCTGTGCCCTCAGGAGAACAAGCCCCTTGACATGCCAGCCCCTGTGGAGCAAGCATCCAGGAGGGACTAGCTGTCCCATGCATTGGCAGTACCTTGCCCGGAAGGGCCCCTGAGCACCCCTCTGCATCCCCTGGGGACTGCAGCTCAGCTAACACTGTCACTCTGTCCCCCTGCTTCCCTCTGCCTTGGTGGTGTCAGTGCAGCAGCTGCTGGAAGATGGCGCTGATCCCTGTGCAGCAGATGATAAAGGCCGCACGGCTCTGCACTTTGCCTCCTGCAATGGCAACGACCAGATTGGTGAGTCCTGGAGCAGAGGGGCGGGGCAGGGCTGGGAAGGGCTGCTGCCCGCTCCTCTCACTCCCCAAGCCTGTGGACCTGGCACTGCCAGACTGGGGAAGGGGTAAGCCTAGGGGAAGGACATGATCGCCTGGAGGCTGGAGCCAGTCCCTCCAGACACGCAGGCCACCTTTACTCAGTGCCAAGGCTGTAGCCAGACAGCCCTTGTTTTTAGGAGTCTTTTTGGGGTATGGTATAACTTACAGTGACCTTTCTGTACGCCACACTGTTGTAACCACTCCCCAGATCAAGACGTCGAATGTTTCCGGGGCCCCACAGCCCCGCTTAGCCCTGCGGTGGACCTGCTCACCCTTGTGCTGGTTCCGCCTGTGCGCGAATCTCAGTGAAGGGAGGTGCACTCATAGAGTTTGTGCTCTTGTACCTCGGCTTCTTTCACTCAAACTTATATCCTGAGATGCATTTCTGAAGGCCGCGTGTCCTGTCTCCTTGCTGGGTAGTATTTCGCTGTGTGACATGGGACACTCACCCTTCCCGCCATGGATGGGCATCCGTGTTGTTTCCAGGTTTGGGCTACGAATGCATACAACTGCTGTGAGCTTTCTTACACCTGTGGCTGGGTGGACGTGAGCGCTTCCCTACGTTAGGTGCAAACCCGGGGACGGACCCGGGGCCACCGGGCGCTCGTGTATTCAGCTCTAGTAGGTGCCACCCGACTTCTCCCGGTGGCTGGACCAATGTGCGCGCCCACCCAGCGTTGTAGGAGTTCCAGATATTTGCACGTCCCCAGCATTGCACTTGGTATTGTTTCTTTTTAATTTAGCCTTTTTGGTGTGGTGGTGTTTCACTGCGGTTTCATTTGTGTTTCTCTGACAGCCCACATTGTTGAGCAGATCTTTCTATAGTTGTCGGGCATTTTATATCCTCTTTTGTGGAGTATCTGTTTAAGTCTTTTGTCCATTTTTTAAAAATACTTTATTTTATTTATTCATTTCTAGAGACAGGGAAAGGAGGGAGAAAGAGAGAGAGAGAAACATCAATGTGTGGTTGCCTCTCACGCACCCCCTACTGGGGACCTGCAACCTGGGCATGTGCCCAGACTGGGAATCGAACCAGCAACCCCTTGGTTTGCAGGCTAGCGCTCAGACCAGTGAGCCACAGCAGCCAGGGCTGTCCATTTTTTAAACATCTTTTATTGATTATTCTGGTTACAAATTATTTAGCAAATATAAATAACTTACCTTCCCTGACCTTGCCTTTTTATTCTCTGAATCGTATCTTTTGATGAATACACGTTCTTTGAAATTTTAATGAATGTGTTAGTCTTTTTTATGGTGAGTATTTTTGTGACCTATTTAAGAAATCTTTGCCTCTCCCGAGATCATGAAGATAGTGTCCTGTTTTCCTCTACGAGCCTGACCGAGCTTTCGCGTCTCTAGAATTAGCTTCCGAGTGTGGTGCGGCACTCAGCACTCAGCCTGGGTCTCGCTACGGGTCAGCCTGCCCGCACGGGTAATTGAGGAGCTCGGGCGATGCAACAGCCCACCCTGGAGGTGGCCTATGGCACTGAGTCTTGTCTGATTTCCACTGTGGTGCTTGGCTGTGAATGGGGCGGGGCGTGCTCCCGAGGACCTTCATGGGCAGCCACTGCTATTCTTTGCTTTCTTTGACCCTTAAAATCTCTGCCCTGTAACACTTGCATAGGCCAGAAGGGCCTCCTGGAATCCTCGGTTCCTGGCCCTCAGGGTCCTGCACATGAACCCTGGGACAGAGGGAGGGAAGCGACACAGGGAACCTTGCAGAGTCTCCGTGTGTACACTCTGAGTGGGCCTCTTTAGCCAGATTAGGGGTGAGTGTGAGGGTCCAGGCCTCAGAAGCCTCTGCCAGCTCCTCTTGGGTTTTCCCATTTCCAGTGCAGCTGCTGCTGGACCACGGGGCCGACCCAAACCAGCGAGATGGACTGGGGAACACGCCACTGCACCTGGGTAAGTGCCCAGACAGCTGCCAAGATACCCTTGTCTGCGGCACAGATGGGCTCCTCTGGTGATGAGCCTGGGGTCCTGCAGGCTCCCAGCAGGACCTCCTGTCACCTGGGGAGAGCCTTGGCCCCCAGTCTGTGCACCATGGACTTCCCTGTCCATCACTAGTTGGCTGTGCCCTGAGCAGAACTGACTCAGCAGCGTAAATTGACAGCAGCAGCTCTGCTAGGGAGTGAGGCCTGCAGCTAGCTCCCGCCCTGCGGCGGACTCACGCCAGGGCTCGCAGTGAGGCAGGCACCGTCTCTGAGCCTCAGCCTCCCCAGTGGTCCAGGGAGGGAGCTAGACTTGACTGCTGAGTCCCACCAGGTTGCTGCCTTGCCGACACCGTCTCAGGAGGCGTGCCCTGACACAGGCACACTCAGAGACACAGTGCCACTCCCCACAGTGGGCAGCCGGGGCCAAGCCCTGGCGGCCCTGCTCTCTCAAGTCCCTGTTCTTCCTCAGCGGCCTGCACCAACCACGTCCCTGTCATCACCACACTGCTGCGAGGAGGTACGTGGCGCCTTCCCCTCCTCCCTCCTCTCCGACCCTCAGCCCCAGCACGCTCACCTCTGCCGTTCCCACAGGGGCCCGCGTAGACGCCCTGGACCGGGCTGGCCGCACACCCCTGCACCTGGCCAAGTCAAAGCTGAACATTCTGCAGGAAGGCCACTCCCAGTGCCTGGAGGCCGTGCGGCTGGAGGTGAAGCAGGTGAGGGCCCCTCTCCTGCCCAGCCCATGGACACCCCACCTCCAGTGCCGGCGCTCCCAGGTCACTTCACTCTACCCCAGTCGGTCCCTGCTGCACTGTGCCTCTGTGCACCTCCCAGCTGGCGCCCCTAGCCCAGCCCGTCCTCTCCTCCCAGATCATCCAGATGCTGAGGGAGTACCTGGAGCGCCTGGGGCGGCACGAGCAGCGGGAACGGCTGGACGACCTGTGCACCCGCCTCCAGATGACGAGCACCAGGGAGCAGGTGAGCCGTGGCCGCAGGTCCGGACCCAGGGTCTGGCAGGCGCCACAGGGCTGCCCCATCCCTGCTGTGAGGCAGCCAGACCCTCCTCCTAGGAGGCAGCCCTGTCCTTCTACAAAGGCTGACGTGGGTTTCCAGCCCCCTGTGGACCCCAGAGCCTCTGCTTGCTTCCTGGGAAGCTGCCAGTGGCCCTCCTCTCTGGGGTGGTCTGAGACCACCTGCTGTTGAGGGTTGGCCTTCGGCCATTTGTTCCATAGTCACAGTGAAGCCAGCACATGCTGTGGGAGGCAAGACAACGCCTGCCCTCCTGGCCTGTGCTATCAGGAAGGACACCTGGGGGCCCAGGCGCCTGGGCCTGTCCTGACACCCAGTGACAGAGCCTCACTTTTGTCCCGCAGGTGGATGAGGTGACAGACCTCCTGGCCAGCTTCACCTCCCTCAGCTTGCAGATGCAGGACATGGAGAAGAGGTAGCAGCGGGGCTCCCTGCCTTCTCGGCCCACCCCGCCCACCTGCTCTCTCATTACCAAGAAAGCCTGAGGCCTGGGACTTCGGAGCTGCACTTGTCGGGGAGGCCTTCGGCCTCACCCCCAATGCCGTGGGCTGGAGATGCTCTCACCAGCCTCAGAGCCTCTTCCGGTCACCATCCCTCTCATCTCCGTGGGCTGGGACTGTGCCCCCCGCTTCTCCCTCTGATCCCCGCAGAACGGCAGCCACGCCTCGCCCCTGGTGACCCTGCGCTGTCCTCATAGGGCGTTCTCGTCTCGTGGTCTCCCTGGCACCCTCAGCAGGCTCAGGACCCCTCTCTGGGCCCCTTCCCCATCGTGGGCTTGTCGCAGCCAGCAGGCGCCCCCGCCTCTCACCAGCACTTGGATTCAGACTTGGCTCCTGCCTTCCTAGGAGGCACCGCAGCGGTTTCTCTGCTTGGAAGGGGCAGGCTGGTGCGGCCTGGACCTTAGGGATACACAGTTGGGGAGGGCCCTGCACAGCCCAAAGCAGGACACCCCCAACTCTTTTCCCTCCCCATCACTGAAACGCCGGGAGGGCACAGTGACTCTGCAGCCTAATCATAGTGGGGTGAACAGTGGGCCCCAAGATGGCCACGTTCTAATCCCGGGCACAAAGGGATATTGCATTAGTCATGAGGATCTTCGGACAAGGCGATTATCCCAGATTATCTGGGGGCTGAGGTGATCGCAGAGACCCTTCTGAGAGGGAAGCAGATCAGGGAGGAAGTAGGAAGCCGATGGAGCAGGGGCAGGAGCTGAGGAAGGGTCACAAGCTAAGGAATGCAGTTGACCCCCCGAAGCTAGAAAAGGCTTCGGTCCCTCAGAGCCTCCGGACAGACCCAGCCCTGCCGACACCGACGGTAGCCCAGTCAGACTGATGTTAGAGGTCTGAGCGTCCGAACTGTAAGAATAAATTTGTCTTTTAAGCCACTAAGTCTGTGGCCATTTGTTACAGCAGCAACGGGGAAACTAATATACTAGAAAAGGCTCACAGCTCCCTGGAAAGGAGGCAGGAGCGGGCACTTCCTGGGTTGTGGGCCACCGACTCAGATTGGGGGCCCCTCCACCCCTGCAGCGGGGGTCTGCAGCGGGGGTCTGCCCCGGGGGCCAGAGGGAAGGTGCTGCCCGGCCCGGCCCTGTCCAAGGAACGTCTGACCCTGACAGAGCAAAGGCAGGCTTGTCTGGGCCACTGGCCATGTCCACTCGCGCTCTGCCCCACTTCCTCTCCCACCCGTCGGAGGAGGGAGCTTACTCCCCAGAGCCCAGCTTGGTCGGGTCGGAGTTAAACTCGTGCAGCCCTGCTGCTCCCTAGACCACAAAGACAAAGGGCATCGTGTGGGTGTGAGGTACCGCCCTGCTGCCTTGGGACTCCGGGCAAGAGGGGAAGCCCAGAGCTCAGCAGGTGGGCAGGGTGAGGAAGGAAAGGCAGGGTGGCAGCCCCAAGGGTGGGAGAGCGAGGGGCAGAGGAAGAGCAATAAGCTGTTTCCATGCAACTGCAGCTGCTGCTGCTCTGAGTAAGGCGGCTGCCGCCTGCTGTGGGGGAGGGGGAGGTGCAGCGGTGGGCTGCTTTTACTCACTCCCTCCCCCCAGGTGAGCCTACCTGCTCAGGCCTGGGGGCCTCCGAGGAGCTCCTCTTCCTACAGGGCTTGTGCGGGCCCGTGCGAGCGGGGCAGGGCAGGGAAGAGTCCTGGGCGGGGCAGAGGCAGGAGCGGGAGGAGTGGACATCGAACAGGTGGGCCACTTCTCCTGGGGCCTGCTTCCCTGAGCCTCCCCCCACCCCGTCTCCACCAGAGCCACTCACCCTGGACAGAGTTGCGGCCGTGTTTCTCCACCTCAGGCCTAAGTGGTTCAAGAAACAGGCCCTTGGCTGTGAACCCCGACATGGTGCGAGGTTTTGTGTGGAGCGTGCATGTGTATTTGGGGTACGAAGGCCCGTAGCCCGCACCCGGCAGGGCGCATACTCGGGGAAAGGCCGGGAATTCCTGCTGTAGACCTTTGGGAGCAGACAGGTGAGGGACCTGCCAAGGACGTCCTAGGAGACTCCCTGGGCCCTTCCGAGACTTGTCCCCTCGGGCAGGCTGCTTTGTCCTGGCAGAGCTGAGACTTTGTGGAGCTGCCCGGCGAGGACCACATGTGTTCCTGGGACAGCCTGACTCGGAGATTCCCGGCCAACTCCCAAGTCCCTGGCCTGGACCAACCTGCCCCCCTGGAAACCAGCACCCTCCATCCTCGTGGTGCCCCACCCACCCACCCATGTTTGGCCCTGTAGCCAAGTGATCATGAGAACAGGCCACCTGGGCAAGTGAAGGGGTCCCTGTCAACTCCCTCTGTGGCCACGTGGACCATGAACAAGGGGTTGGGCAGAGGAGGCCTTGGCAGCCTCACCCAACACTTTCCAAAAAGTGAGGCGGTGGGCCCCATCGCCTCGCCCCACTTCCAAGCAGGATTTTTCCTGCAACCCCAAATCTATGAAGAGCCGGCCAGTTCATGTCAGCTCCAGACACTGGAGTGAGTCAGAAAACCTGCAAGGCGGCCCTGGGCCAGCTGGGCTGGGCTGGGCTTGGCAGGGGCAGGAGGGGGCCTCCACAGAGGTTGCCTGCACAACCAGTTAGCTCTGTTACTAGCTGCTTCCACACCACTGAGTTTGTGGGGGAAGCGGGGACGGGGGTGGAGGCAGGAAGAAGAAGTCCATCTCTTGGTTTCACCTCCTGGGAGGCTCCTCTGCTTTCCACCTCACACCTGTTCCTGTTAGAGCTGCTAAGCCCTCGCCAAGCATCCGCCCTGTTCTAGGTGGGGTTGCAGCGGTGCACAGGACAGAATCACACAGAAGGACGGAATTGCCGCCTGGCGTGGCCCAGGGCAAATGTGGGAAGTGCTCAGAGAAGAACATTCACAGGTTCTCACAACTGTGAGAGCTGAGAAGACGCAGCCAGGCGACTGACCAGGCAGCAGGGCTGGGGTGTGGATCCCACCGCCAGCTGCCCCCACCCCCAGCTGCTGCAGTTCCCACCAGGCCCGACACAAAAGCAGCGTCCTGAATGGAAGGGCGGCACATTCGCTGAGCTCCCGCTGTTCGCCGGCTGGCCCTTCGTACAAACCCTTTGATTCCACGTTTGCTGTGGAATGTGAGGCGGCCAACATTTTGGCTCCTACTGTTTTACGGATGCAGAAAATTGAGGCTCAGCAAAAGAAAGTAACTTGCTTGAGATCAGAGAGCTGGCGCGTGGGGCCCTAGAGTGGCCTCTGCCAGGGCTTCCGAAGTGCCCACGTCTTCAGTGCCCCTGGGACCCAGCGTGGGAATCACAGGCCTTCCTGAGTGAGGCTCTGTCGCCGTGGCCACCTGAGGCACAGGAAGGTGCGGCCCTTTCCTCGCTGAGCACAGTATACAGTGCGCTTGGTGGACAAGGCGTGTACCTGGGCCCCTAGGAGAAGAGAAGGACAGCAGGAGGCGACGGGGCTAAGCTGAGTCAGGAGGTCCTGGCTGATCTTTGCTGGCTGCCACCATGGTCACAGGCCTCCTGAGGTGGTCTCGAGCTGGCTGTGGGACCTGGAGGGTGACTGGCTGGCCAGAGAGGGCAGCGGGACCGGGCTACAGGAGTCCTGAGGTCTGAAGGTGGCAGATGCCTGTGAGGCGGGCTGTGACCTCCATCTGGAGGTCGGATGTGGCTTCACCACAGCGAGTACCGTGCACTCTGGGGGGAAGTCCCTGTCCCAACCAAGGCTGCCCGCTCCCCAGACTGCTTCAGGTGCTGAGCCCAAGCCAGGGCGAGGAGGTCAGGAAGCTGGACGGGCCTGGGAAATCCCAACAAAGACCCTGCCCCCCGCCAGCTACGGGCCCGGAGGGCGTTACAGCCCGAATGCCCTGCTGCTAGCTCACCAGCTGACACCAAGGCCTGAGTGCCTGCAGGGACCCGTGGTACCCGGCTTTACAGGTGAGGAAATACACTCAGGGAAGCAAAAGACCAGGGACCAGATGTCCTCTTGTTCCCGTGACTGGCCCACCCCAGCCTGGTGACTCCTGCTTTGGGAGCGGCGAGGACGCACCTGCTGTAGAAGCACTTGCCAGTCAGCACGTGCCGGGGGCAGTCCCGCCTCCTTCCCTGGAGACCGGCATCTGCCCAGGGGAGCCCTGGAAACGTCACGTACGGCTGGCAGCCGAGGTGAGCGACTCGAGGCCCCCTGCCTCCGCAGGGATCCGCTCAGCCAGAGAGCCCAGGTCTGCGGCTCACTGAAGCCCAGAGAGGCCAGAGCTAGGAAGTGCAGCAGCCAGAGTCCAACCGACAGAGAGGCTCTGAGTCCACTCCTTGACCCCTGCACTATGCCACCTCTGAGTGGACCTGGCATGTCCACCCAGTGTCCAGGCCAGCGCCTGCCCCAGCACCACCGCCACCCCCAGGCACTCCAAGCCGGCACTGTGCCCCTCAACCCCCCCACACCACCCTTCCTCCTGCTCCCGCCTCACCCCTCCGCTGAGACTGGGCCGCCGAAACAACGTGGCACCCGGCAGATGCCTCAATAAATCAGTCTTGTCCTTGTACCAGAAACAGTTCCAGCCAGCACAGCCTGGCCTGCTGGCCTCAGGCCATCTTGGACCCGGTGGGCAGCCTGCAAATGAGCCATGCGTTGAGGCTGAGGAACTAATGTTCATCAATAGGGAACCTTGGGTCCTTAATTGGTATTGACGTCCCCAGGTACGCACTTGGAAGCGGATGATGCTGTGCCTGCCAGCCTGCAGCGGGGAGGGTGGCTGATTAACTCGGCCACGCCAGAGTCCTCACCTCGCTTACCCTCCCCCGGACTGAGTTTGAGCCCTGACTACGGTTGCTATAGGGGGCGGAGGAGTCACCTCTGCCCATCCCAGCCCCTCTCACCCCCTTGACCAACTCCTTCCTGCTTCTTCTCTTGCCCAAACACTGTGGAACCATAATCAGACAAACCTGAACTGAAGATCGCAGCTCTGGTTTGGGCCAGCTCTGGGATCTCAGGCGCGTTACTTGATCTCTGAGCCTCAGCCTTCTCACCCTCCAACTCTCCAGCCGATGAGACACACTTCCAGGCCCCACCCAGGACCTAAAAGGTAGCAGGCGCCCGGGGTGGCAGGCCCTGCAGACCCCCCCACCACATGCCACAGGGCCTTGCGGACCCCCTTCACCTCAGCCTCAGCATGTTTCAACCGATCTCCCCTCAAACCTGACCCTCCTCGTCCCCACGGCCACCCCCACAACTCAAAGTGGGATTCTGGGGTGTCACCTGGGATACCTCTCTCCTCCCCGCACGTGTTCAATCACCAAGTCCTGACAGCTGTACCTCCTAAGTGGGGCCCATCTGTCTCGCCACGTCTGCCCACCCACTGCCCGTGCCCCAGTGTCCGCTGTGGGTTCTCACAGCAGCCTCTCAACAGCAGCGCCCTCCCGCTCCCCCTCTGCAGGAAAGCCTGCCTCCAGCCAGAAAGAGTTCCCTGAAGAGTAAATCTCATCAGGCTGTTCTGCATTTACAACCTTTCGGTGACTCACCGTTGTCCTCTGGACAAAGTGCATTCTCAGTCGCAGGGGCCAACGTACAGGCCCTCGAGCCTGGCTCCAGGCTGCCTCGCACACGTCGTTTTGTCTCTCTGCCCCTCCGCCCCATTACCTCCCACTGCAGGACTTGGCGTGGGAGCAGCCCCTCAGGAAGTCTTCTCTGCCTCCCCAGGCTAGCTCAGGACCCTCCGCTGGGCTCCCACAATCCCCCGGGCCTCCGTCTTTCTTTTCTGCAGGAGAACCTTGTACCCACCACGTGCTCAGACGTGAATGCCGCAGGCCCATCCCTAAGAGGTTTGCAGGCACAAGTAGGATGACGGGGGATGCAGAATTCTTTTAACTCTCCCTCCAACTAACAGGGTTGGTTCCTTCACAGGTCTTGCAGGGGGCTGCAGCCAGGTGGCTTCTCCTGGGCCCTGGGGGCAGCAGACAGGGCTCATTCAGGGCCGCCTTTACCCCCCCCCCCACACACACACACACCCTCACTTGCCTCTGGTCCTACAGGACTCACAGCCCTCTCCTAACCAAAGTGCAGCAAGTTCTCACTGGGCATCATGCGCAGGTTCTCTGACTTGAAGCGAAATGACGTGCCATGAAGGTGGTTTGACTACAGGCTGATACAAACTAGATTACGTTCCTGTGGCACCTCATCAACATTCTAGCGAAATGACATCGAACAAAATGACATTAATCGAGAACCTGCTGTATTGAGACCATCTGCTCTTCTGAGCATTTCATTAGCACCCTGAGGTAGACCCGGCATCTCTGGGGCCGAGCGCGGAGCCCGGCAGCTGGGTGTCCACCTTCCTGCCAAATCTACAGGAAAAGTCACCTCCCAGCCCCAGGCCAGGCCCTCCGAGCAGCTGGAGGCCAGCCTGCCAGTTCCACCCAGCCCCGGGGCGCTGCAACCCCAAGGCCCTGGTGACGTCACGGTGCCCACCCTCCTGGCCTCCCTGGGCCCCACCTGCTGCAGTGACAGAAGTGCTTATTGCTCCTCCTTGCGCCCCACCGTGGCTGCTCCGCCTTGCAGACTCTTCCTACCTTTCTCCAGGAGAGTAGGTTTGAATCGTTTCCTTCTCTGGGACTCCTGCCTGGACGGCCCAGGAGGGCAGCAGTGCCCTCCTCTGCGCCCCTTCAGAACTGCGCGTGTTCTGTCACGGCCCATCCCACGGTTCTGTCCGTTCTTCTTTCGGTGTCCGGCTCTCCAGCCGGGCTGAGAGCCGCTGGAAGGGAGAGGCCAGGTCAGACCCAGCGTCTCTGTCCTCCCCCATCGGCCTCACCTAGGGCAGGCACTCAGGTGACTGGGGCGTAAGGAAAGCAGGGTGGGACAGGTAATGTCTTTCCTCCCCTGGCACCTCTGTCCTCACGAATCAAGCATCTGTGCATCTACTCTGGGCCAGGCCGTACTGCCCGCCCCTGACCGATGGTCCAGCCGGACCTGCTAGCAGAGGAGGAGGCCTCGACATCGGGGATGGACAGCTGTCTGCCAGCTGAGCAGGGACCCTCCCCTGGGGCCTGGGGTTTCATGCACGCTCAGATTCTGCTTGTCCTAGATGGAGGCTGTCCCCAGTGGGTCCCCTGTCCATGCCCACAGAGGAGACCGTGGAGGAGCAGCGGCCCAGCTGGGAGATTTTGTTCCCTTCTTTCACTGCAGGCGCTCACCGTTCTTGTGAGCCAAACTTTGTCAGATGTGCTGGGATGTTTTCGACATGCTGCCTGGGCCGCCTGAGAGCCACCTCTGGGGCCGATTAGGGTACCAGCTCTGCCACGAATCAGCCGCTTGGCTCTGGTCACGCTACCTCACCTCCTGGAGGCTCAGCTTCTGCCTCTGAGAATGGAGGTGATATTCCTTGCCTGCCAAAGTTGGCGCAAGGCCCGAATGAGCCGGTGGAGGTGTGAGTGAGGCCCCGGGGAGACTGAGGCCACGCTGGGTACTGTGGGAGCTGGACGCATCGCCCCCGTGGCCCTCCGGGAACAGCCCCACTGCTGTGGCCGGAGTCAGCCGTGAACGCCTTGGCATAGGCGTGCTGTGCTGGGCCCCTGAAGCAGTTGCTCCCCCAACTGGGTGGGTCTCAGCTTCCCCCTGTGACTGCTGCTCTGACCTAGGGTCTGTGGCAGGTGGCAGGCGGTGACCAGGATTCAGCAGCTGCCTCTGTCAGGGAGGGCCCCCCCAGGGTGCCCAGCAGCCAGCAGACATGCTGGGGAGACCCGGAGGCCCACGGGCCTCAGGCCCCAACCAGAGGCCGATGAGCGTTATTGGCGGGTGGTGAAGTGGGGAAGGAAGCGGTCGGCTCTGCAACCACTTAAACTGATTTATTGGCTAATTAGGAGGTTTCCACAGCCACAGACGACCCCAGCTGTGAGCAGGAACAGGGAAAGGGGGCTCCACAGGGCAGCCATGGCTGCCGGGCGGCCAGCTGTGCCCCAAGCGTGGCTCTGTGTCTCTCCTGAGCCAGGAGGGCTGGACAACCAAGGAGTGACGCGAGGGATTTGGGCCAGGCAATGGCGGGAGGCCTGAAGCCCATCAGGACCTGCTGGCCTGAGTGTCTGAACAGAACGCTCCCGAGGGAGAGGACCGGGAGCCCTCCGAGGTTTCCAAGGCACCCGGCCGGGGCGTGGGGAGCTGCAGGTTCGGGGAAGGGGGCTGATGCAGAATCAGGAAGAACCAAAGGAAAACCTCGGAAACCAGGAAATCCTGGAGCAGCGGTCTCAGAGGTGGAGGAGGGGGTGCCGCAGAGAAGTCAGACTGCCGTGGGTTTGCATCCAGCCTCTGCCAAACACTACGAGACTCTAGGCCAGCAGTTTTCACGGTGTGCCGCAAAGAACTTCTAAAACGTGCAATGCCCGACTGTTCAGTCAGGGCTACTGACCTCTTTTCCTTTAGATTGTCAGAAGAAAACAAACACAAAACAAAAAACAAAACCCGACAACAACCAACACAACAGCAGCTGTCTGGTGTGAATGAATCAAAGCTATACCTACTTTTTTTTTGTTAGAGCAGCAAAAAAACACATATCTTTAGTGTGCTGCAACATTTCAGTTTGTGTGCTATGAGATGAAAAACGGGTGAAAACAGTCTTAGGCAAATCACTAAACCCCTCTGATTCTTGATTTCTTCATCTGTAAAATGGAACAAGTTACAGGGACCTTGCAGAGCTGTTCTGATCATTAGAATGCAGCTCCGCCTGAGATACATTGTAACTGGTAAACGGATATTTGCCACATTAGCTGCTGGAATTAAACAGCCCAGAACAGGACTTGGAGAGGAGAAGGGGCTTGGTGAAGAAGGCTTGTGGAGGAAGCGGGGCTTAGACCCTGCGGACGGATTTGGAGGGGTGGGCAGAGGACTTGCCCTCCTGCCAGACCAGCCATGGACGCAGTCTGGGGGCTGCCCATCTCGGGGGCTGCTCTGAGCTGTACCCACCCATTTTCACCGCCCGGGGGTGTCCACTGGGCTGGGGCCCCGGCACACCCACTGCTCCTCACAGGGCTTCTGGCTTCGGCCCCATCCCCTAGAAGCGTCCGGCCGTTGGAGCAGGGGAAAGACAGACATAGGACACCCAGCAGAGTGGAGGTGGACAAGGTTTATTTTGGTCCTCCAGCACACAGGGCCGGTCCAGCCTCCCTGCCGCCAACAGCCTCCTCCCCGGGCTCCCCGCCCCAGCCGCCACCCACCGGCAGCCTCCCGCGAGGCCGGGCGTCCCCGGGGTGGCCAACAGGACCCGAGGACGCCGGGCGAATGCGACGGACGGTGCGGCGGGCGCCAAAGGGGCAGCAGGCGCGGTGGTGGCGGCGGCGGCCAGAGGGCCACAGGCGGCGGAGACGTGCGCGGAAGTGGCGCGAGGCAAGCGCGTAGACCAGCGGGTTGAGGCAGGAGTTGGCGTAGGCAAGGCAGTGCGAGGCCAGGCGACAGGCGTAGGTGGCCGGGCTGAAGGCGAAGCGGCCGTACCAGAAGCAGAGGATGAGCGTGTGGTGCGGACCCCAGCAGAGCGCGTAGAGCGCCGCCACCGCCAGCATGGCGCGCCCCGCGCGGCCCGTAGCCCTGCGCCTGGCCTCGGCCGCCGCCACGCCCGCGGGGCCCACAGCCGCCCACAGGAAGCGCAGTGTGCGCGCGTAGGCCAGGCTCACCACGGCCACCGGCAGCAGGTAGCCGACGGCGAAGGTGGCCACGTCCAGGGCGCGCCGGCGGGCGTCCTCCCAGGCGGGCACGCAGAGCTCGAGCGCGCCGTAGCGCACCGTGCCGTAGTAGCTGACATACGGCGCGGAGAAGAGCGCTGCCAGCAGCCAGACCAGGCCCACGGCGGCGCGGGCGTTGCGCGGGGTGCGCAAAGCCCGCGAGCGCAGCGGGTGCCGCACAGCCAGGTACCTGCGGGCGGGCGCGGGGTGAGCGCGGGGGGCGGGCGGTTGGCAGCCCGCATCCGCGCCTCCACGGAAACCCCGCGAGGGGCTGTGGGGGTGACCGCTCGACCTGCTTCCCAGGCGGTGGTGACTCAGGGGGTTGAGGGCAAAGTGCTTAGAGCAATGTCTGGAAGCACAGAGAAAAATGACTTGGCTGAGGTTGGAGCTGGAGAACGAGCCCGGATTTGACCCCAACTTTCAAGCCATGACAGCAGGTACGACCACAACCTGGGCCAGGAGTGGGCGGTGATAAAGTCTCTGACTGCATCGGTGTGTTGTGCTTGCCATTCATTTCACACTCGGGAACACTCACCATGTGCCAGGCCCTGTGCCCACACTTGAGACACGGAGATGTTTTGGGGAAGCTCAAGTAGAGTTGGGGGGAGGGCAGGATGGTCCCCGCAAACACGCCCTTGCAGGCGTCCAGAGACGGGGTGGTGATGGTCAGAGAGCTGCTCCTCGCCCCTCTCCATCCCCCTTTGCCATCCCCCTTTCTCTTTCCTAAGCCACTAAGCATCTGCTCAGGTCCTCCCTCCCCAGCCCAGACCCAACCAGGCCCCCGGCACAGCGCACCTGTCCACTGAGACGGCGGCCAGCGTGAAGCTGCTGGCATACATGGTGAGATAGATGAGCAGGTGCACGGCCTTGCAGACGAGGGCCCCAAAGAGCCAGGCGTCCAGCGTGTAGATGGCGGCCTGGAAAGGCACGCAGCACAGGATGAAGCAGAGGTCGGCCACGGCCAGGTTGAGAATGAACAGATCTGTCGTGCTGCCCGGCTCCCGCCACACGCTCGGCCCGGGCCGCAGCATCACGGCCAGCACCAGCCCGTTGCCCACTGTGCCCAGCAGGAAGATGAGGGCGAAGACCACAGGCACTGCCACAGCCCCCATGTTCCCCGGGCTGTTTAGGGACGTGTTCTGGGCATCAGCCATCTCTCCGACAGACAGCCACCTAGGGAAGACAAGCTGGGGTTCTCAGGCAGGGGCTCCCAGCCCCAGTCACTGGACCCCGGGACCTGGTTCCCTCGCCTGCGGCCTGGCTAGGTCTCCTGGGCTAGAAGCTACTAGGGGTGGGAGTAGGCAGCAGAGCCGGAACTTATCACCGAGACCTACTGTGCAAGCTGCTGGCACGGTCACATTGGTGTCTGAGGTGGGTTTCTCAGTTTCCCAGGGGACACCCCCATAGTGTGGAGTGTGAAGGGCTGGTTAGGGAGGTGAGGGACCTCCAACCAGTGATGCAGATAAAGACACAGGCAGAGTTGGGTGAGGACCTGGTGGGGGGGAGGGGAGGGGCACTCCGACCTCAGGAGTGGGTATATTTTCTTCTCAGTGAGGGTCTGAAGTTCAGGGAAGACTCTTGGACGGGGGTCAAAGTCAGTGAAAGGAGGGTGACACCCCTGCGTTACTGGAGAGTCCAGCTTAGGGACAGCCTCACCGCAGCACCCCTGGAAAACCGTACAGGTCCCTCTCTGGCCCCTTTTTGCACTTGAGAGGAAATCGAGGCTCAGAGAGGGGACATGGAAGGCTGAAGATCACACTCCGAGGGGCAGACCGGGGCCGTTGCCACCCTGGCACTCTGACTCCAGTTGGAGTCCTCCTCTGAGAGCCTGTGTGTAACAGGTGGTGCTGTGTTGAGCTGCCTGTGTGCGTGCGTGCGTGTGCATCCGTGAAAGCTGAGACCACCCTCATGCCTGCCCCACCCCACAGCCCACATCAGGTACCCCCTGTGGGTCCCCCGAAGCCTGGGACCTCTAGGTTGGTGGGACAAATTCAGGGCAAGGGGGTCAGGCAGGGCAGAGGGAAGAAAAGATTCATAGGCTCCCCTCCCCCAGCACCCAGCACGCAGAGACCCTCCCAAGTGCAAGATGGGCAACACCCACCTCAGTCCTGGGCCCTGGGCCCCCTGCTTGATCCTGGGTAAACCGTCAGGCTGAGGCTGCCTCCTGGCTCAGCGGCCACCCCTTGGTGCCTCCCTGCAGGTTTGCCTCTCACTTCCCCCTCTTCTCCTTTAAGGCCCCTCCTCTGCTGCGCTGGACTCGGGCGGTCCCTCCAGAGCGCCCACTGGCCGCCTCCTCCTCCGCCTCAGCCCCTGATCTTCCCCAGGTGGCATGCTCTTCTGCCTGGCTCTCTGCCTCTGCGTTGCTTCTGTCTCTTTCCGCAGTGAGTAACCCATTGATCTCTCTGAGATCGCTTTGTAGTTAACCCCTCTGTGCCCAGGGCCCATCCCATCCTTGGCACTCCAACCTCCTGTGGCCCTGCCCATCCTGCCCTCTCCTGCTCCAATCCAAATTCAGAAAGGATGCCCAGCCCTGGCTGGTGTGGCTTTAGTGGATCGAGTGCTGGCTGTGAACTGAAAGGTTGCTGGTTCCATTCCCAGTCAGGGCATGTGCCTGGGTTGCGGGTCAGGTCCTCAACTTGGGGTGTGTGAGAGGCAACTGAACTGATGGAACTCATATATTAATGTTTCTCTCCCTCCCTTCTCTCTAAAAATAAGGAAAACATTTTTATTTTTGTAAAAGAAAGGATTGCTAGTCTTGAATGGGGTGCCCTAGGCTAAGAAACCAGGGTGAGTCCTTTTTCTGCAGACTTTATACCGCACCCCTCCCCCAGGCCCTGAGAGCCGAGACCTATCAGCTTCCCTGAGCTTTGCACACGGCTTCGGTCCAGCTGGACAATGGAGAGCTTCTGTACCCACCAAGTCTGGCTTTAGGCCAAAGGCAATGGGGAACTAGTGAATGTTCTAGAGCAGAGTCAGGACCTGATCAGTTATTTTGGAATTAGTTTATTATGGCTCGGGGTGGACCGATTTAACGAGTGACCGCCAGGAGCCTCTTTTCCAGGCAGCAGCCAAAGAGCTGATGGTGAATGGCTGACTCGGTCAGGGGTTCTGACCTGACCACTTGGAGAAGTGCACCACACGGCCAAAGAGTTGGAGGCGAACACCTAGGCAGCCAGGAGCACTGGGTTTAGCGACGAATGTCGAGGGGGCAGAAGGCAGACTGCAAGGAGTTAAGGGAGAGAAGAGGTGCTAGGGACTGCACATGGAGTCCTTCTAGAAGCTGGGAGGGTGGAAAGAATGTCAAAGGGGAAGTCTGGGGAAGTAAGGATAGTTGAGGGGATGCTCATGAAGCCCAGACTTGCATGTGAGGCTGGAGCAGCTAGTGAACTCTCTAGGGCCAGTCCCTCGCAGGCTCCCGGGACCTCTGTCAGTGCGCAGAAGTGCTCATCAAGCCTGGTGCCCCTCACCCCAGGCACAGAGCATCCTCCGCTTCTGGAAGCCGAGACTCACTAAATTGAAGATATTAGGGCTCATACCTGGACTCTCCAAATCTGAATTCAGAGCTATCAGATTGGATGAAGGAATCAGAACAACAGAATCTTATGATCACTGAAAAGCAGAATTATAGGTATGGTGGGATTTTAGACTCACTGATGGAGGTCCACCCTTTCTGAAAGTGACACACCGACAGACTGCCAGAAGCTCAGACACACCAACATGTCATGCCTGCACCCTGAAAGCCTCTGAGGTCTCTGACATGCTGTCCCGCCTCCCCGTGGGGGCCCCAGTGCGAGAGGCCCCTCCTCGCCCGTAGCTGGGTCCTGGCAGCACTGGAGGGACTCCCAGTAGCCGCAGGCCGAGCAGCTCTGAGAGCAGATGCAGAGGGAAGGAGGCGACCCCAGAAGGCCCAACCTGGGGTGGGCAGGAAGGGTGTGTTGTTATGCCCCAGTGCCAGCAGGCCCCGGGGCCCCCTGCTCCCTTTGCTGCAAATGCTGCTCCCGGTGGCCACAACTTGAACCTCGTGCCCAACTCGGGAGACACGGATTGTGCGCCCTGAGAACAGTACCCCCAGCCCCTGGTCCCACAGTGTGCAGAAGTGCGAGTGATCCATGGCCAGCCCTCTAGTTTGTCATGGATATGGACCACTACCAGTATGTGCCCGAGCCCAGGCATGTGCAACTGGAACTGCTGCTGCCCCGGATGGCACCTCCTAGGACCCCTTCTGGGTGGCCGTGGACCAGGGCCAGCACCCCTCCGTACCTGGTCAACCACGCATGGCACGACCACGGCCAGGCCCAGGATGTCGAGTCGCTGCTCACTGGGGAGTGCCTGCTGCCACCGGCAGCGCACACTGTGCCACTGCCCAGTGGGCCTGGGCCAGGTGCTCTGGCTTCGCTGGGTGGGTGGGGCACACTGTGGTCGTGGCTGCCAGGTGTGACCTGCTGGCCCATGCGGCCCTCACACGTCAAGCTGCGCTCGGTACTGGTGTCAGATCCTGTGCCTTCGCTGCTGCCACAGTGCGCCTGGCACCGGGGGCCCCACCTTGGGGGTGGCTACACACACGCGTTCCTGTGCTTGATGTGGCTGCAGCAGCCCCTCCCCCTGGCGACATCCCCCAGCCTCAAGCTCTTCCAGATCACAGGCGAGGATGTCCAGAATCCCAGAGTCAAGATCCTGTAGGACTGGCCCTGACTGGTGTGGCTCAATGGGCTGGCCATCATCCTGCAGACTGAGGCCGCAGGTTCGACTCCGGTCAGGGCACACGTTGGGTTGTAGGTGAGGTCCCAAGTTGGGGCGTTCGAGACGAAACCTCACACATCAATGTCTCCCTCCCTCCCTCCCCCTCTCTCTGACAATAAAATCTTTTTCATTTGCAGGATTAGGCTGGAGCTCAACCAGATTGTTCAACCAAGATTCCCAAGAAAGGGGGAGGGCTGGGGATATGGGCGCTGGAGACCTTGTCCTAGTTCCCCGATGTTAATAAGGGCCCTTTTCATCCCGCTCTACCCCCAGCAAACTGCGAGAGCTTCCCAAGGCCACTCTGCTGAGGCTGGGGCTATGGTGACTCAGAAGCTGCCCCCTGCCCCCACCGGGTGCCTGTGAGACTGAGTGGGGAGGGCAGCGGAGAGGGGCTAGGGGAAGTGACTGTGGGAAGGGGGTTGCCACCTCCAGTGGAGGCGCAGCAAGTCATTGTGGGGGACAAGGGTGGATAGGGCTTTCACAGCAGCCAATCAGCCTGGAAGGCCGTGGCTGTAGAATTGCTCAAATGGCGAGCCCAAGGCCAGAAGTCTGGAGGGGTGGGGCCGGAGGGGCCGGAGCTGCTGGAGTCTGAGCTCGCTGCGCCCCCTGGCGGCTTGCCATGAGGCCAGCAGGCCTGGGGTTGACAGAGCTGGAAAAGCCTCAGACATTAAGAAAACATCCACGCCTGGTACAGTGTGGCACATGCTGAGGCACACACTAGGGATAGAGATGGCCTAGTGTGTGCCACAGGCTTAGGGACAAAGTGGGATAGAACACAGGTTTCCGGACTGGCAGGGGCCTCCCCAAGAGTGACCCACACTTTGCTTTGGGGCCTGAATCCTCTGCCTCTCTTCCAAACATGGGTATGGATGCCCAGCCCCTTCTTATCCGGGCGGCTGTGGACCACCCTTTATTCAGAGAGCAGGACACAAGGTGTTCCCCAGGGCTACACTCCGGAGGCAGCAGAGTGGGAGGTGGCGGCGAGGGACAGGGCCTGCAGAGCTGGTGCTCAGCTCCCTCTGCAGCAGCACAGACTCCAGCTGAGCCAGGGGACAGCCCTGCTATATCAGCCCCGCAGCCTGGGTCTCATCTTAATTTGGATGAGTTAGTCAGCTCCAACGTCTGCTATAGCTTTCCAGAGCCTGCCGTCATGGCTGCAGCTCCTACCTGCTCTTTCGGCCGATCACAGAGCAGGGGAACTGCTCATAAAGAATAAAGCAACGCATCACAGCCAATTTCCACAGTTGTTTCACACTCCCGGTCACAGGCATAGGCCTTGCCCCAGCCCAGCCAGAGGATTCTGACAGGGCTCAGAGCCTCTGGCCCGGGCTGATGATCAAAGGCCCTCTGTGTTGCCATGGAGAGAGGGGGACCTTGGCTCTGCTCGTCACTATCCAGGGCTCAGGGCAATGCCCCGTGCAGCCGCCCCACCTCCGCAAAGGCCTCCACGCAGCGGTCGATGTCTTCCTCAGTGTGCACTGCAGAGATCTGCACCCGGATCCTGGCCTTGCCCTGGGGGACCACGGGGTAGCTGAACCCGATGACAAAGATGCCTGAGAAAGCAGAGAGGGTCAACCTGGGGCCCTCAGAGCAGAGCAGGCTTTGGGCATGACACACAGCCCTCACTTCCCTAGGGCCACGGAGGCCGAGGGAGCTGCCCTCGGCCTCTCAGACCGGGTGGTCTCTCAACCATGGACTACCTCATGGCCCAGGTCTCTCAGTGTGGACAGCTGGCCTAAAAAGGGCAGTGGGGGTGTGTTTTGTCTTGAAGGGTGTTTGCTGGTTTCTGTTCTGAAAGAGCTGCATTTAATACCAGTCTTTGTAGGGGCGTTCCTCACAAGCCCTGCTACTCAGAGCGATCACCATGCGGCCTGGTTTAGAAGAATAATGCAGAAAGGATATTAAGTGGGATCTGCAGACGTTTCATGATTATTTCTGATTTACATTTCTCATCGTTCATAAGCTGATGGCCGTTTATGAAAGATACTGGGAGTTGGAGGATATCACCGCAACCCAACTGGAAGAATTACCCAGGTGTTTCATTAACAAGGGTCAACTTAATACCTTAGTAACAGAGTAACCAAAAGACACGGTATCAGTGTGATCTTATATTAAACCAGGACCTTTGGGCCTTTTTAAAGTCTCTTGAACATTTTTAAGTAGAAATAAATTCTGGCTTTAAAAACAAATAAATAAATAAAGAGTCGAGGAGCAATAAGGGGGAGTATTCGCAGTCTAGTTGGGTCCCCGCTGTTCTCTCTCAGGCCGCATACCCAGTCCCTTGCCCGGGCCTCCTCACCTCTCTTTAGCATGTCATCCGCCATGCAAGAGGCCAGCCGGGCGTCACCCAGCATCACGGGGCAGATGGGGTGACTGGCTCCCGAGATGGTGAAGCCAGCAGCCTCCATCTTACTGCGGAACCTGTGGGCACAAGCTGAGTGTTACAGGTCGCTGGGGGGCTGTGGACCATTCACACCTGCTCCTGATAGACACATGACCCAAGATCTGTGCCCGAATTGCAGAAGGAACCAGCAAGACAGAGATGCAGACCCAGAAAGTCAGGTGGAGGAACAAGCAGACCAAAGAGCGAGGTGGAAAAACAGAAGAGTCAGGAAGACAGGGGGTCATTCGCAGAGACGTGCCAGGAAATGGACGGAAGAGGCCAAGCTGAGTCCCAGTGCAGCCTGCTGAGCACACGAACTGGCAGAGGCAGAACCTGTAGGCCTGGGCTGGGCAGCCACACAGGGGTGGGCCGCGGCAGCTCCCTCCACCCTAGCCTTTCCCACCCGCGCCAGGGACTACACCGCTGGGTCTTGGCTGCCATAGACTGAACGATGGCGTTGCTCTCCATGAGCAGGTCCAGGGCCTTGGAGGCACAGCCGACAACGGCAGGTGGCAGGCTATTGGAGAAGAGGTAGGGCCGGGCACGCTGCCGCAGCAGGGACACCAGGGGCCCAGGCCCTGTCGTGTAGCCCCCTGAGAACGAGAGGGGGGTAGGGGTAGTCAGGAGCCAGAGCCCACCCTGCCCACCCAAGAGGGCAGAAAATACACAGGTCTGCCCTCTTGTCTGCAGTCCCAGGCCCTGCATGTGGGTAAGGGGACCCCAGTGGCACAACCCTGCAGGCACCTGACGCTCCGCCCAGCGCCTTCCCCAGTGTGGAGTTGATGATGGTGACCTGGTCCATCACACCCAGCAGCTCATCTGTGCCCCTGCAAGGAAAGCTGCCACTGCCACCACAGGCTGCCTGAGTGCCCGGCAGTCACCGGCTGAGCTGAGGCTGGCCTCCTGGTTTCCCACCCTACCCTTAGCAGCCCAACCCAAGGCCTCAGGTGCCACATGCTCCCACCGTCCTGTGGCCCCCAGGAAGCCAGTGGCATGACATTCGTCCACAAAGACCAGGGCACCGTATCGAGATGCGAGGTGGCAGATCTCCTGCAGGGGTGCAATGTCGCCATCCATGGAAAAGGCCCCATCAGTGGCCACCAGGCGCAGTCGGTGCTTCTGCAGGGGAGGCAAGGACTGGTGGTGGTCGGTGTGACACGCTGGCGCAGCCACCCACCTTCTGTGCTGTTTGGGGCTCTAAGAGCTCCCCTTGCCCAGTGCCAGGCACAGGGGTGGGCACGTAAGTGCTACTGCACTGGGACTGGAACATCTTCTGCCTCATCCCTGCCTTTCTGAGCCCTACTCATCTCTTCCAGGGCAGTCTGGAGCTGCGCTTAGCCCCGGGCAGTGAGGATGCTCTCAGTGCCCCCTCAGAGGGCAGCGTGGGGTGGGGCCTGTTATTTCCATGAGTGGATCCTGCCATTACGCCTACTAAGAGCCTGCCCACACACAAGGTGCCCAGGCGGCATGGTGAAATGGAAAACACCTCTGGGTCTGAGGGATCCATGTTCAAATCTTGGCTGTTTCAAACTCCTGGGCTATTTTGAGTGCAGACTTGGCCTGCGGAGGCTGAGGATAAACCCAGTCCTCGCCCCACCTGGGCCTCCTGCAGCTTGGTCTCTAGATCAGCCATGTCCAGATGGCGGTAGCGGTACTTATGGGCCTTGCAAAGACGGATGCCATCGATGATGGAGGCGTGGTTGAGCTCATCTGATAGAACTGCATCCTCTGGGGTCAGCAGGGCCTGGGGGAAGGCAGACGGAGTACAGACATCGGCCAAACACCTGGTGGTCCTCCCTCTTCTATGACTCAGCCCCCGAGTCCGAATTTCACTACCAACCAGAACATTCCTCTGGGCGGGGAGGCTAGGAGCCCTCTACCTCTACCTGGGTCCCCAGAGCCCCAGGGCTGGGCTGAGCCAGGACCCTGCTCTCATGAGAACAGGCGAGGATGTGTTTGGAGAGTGCCTAGCCCCTGCCACTCCCAGCCATCCAGGTGAGGTGGGTTAGCCCCCAGTACTCGGGAAGATGGCCTCCTTGCAAGCCTCAGGGTTCTTCCTGGAGCACCTACCTGGCCCAACCTGACACCTGTAAGAAACGATCACTGGAGCCTCGAGCCACGGCGTTGGCATCCTGCCAGGCCCTCTGGACTGCCCACTCCTCCAGCAGCCTAGCAGGCTTCACCAGCTCCCACCCACGGCCCCCACACACCTCAAAGAGGCCAGTGTTGGCATCAAAACAGCTGGGATAAAGAACAGCGTCCTCCCGCTGGTGGAAGCGGGCTATCTTTGCTTCTAGATCCTTGTGGATGCTCTGAAGGAAGCGAGTGGGACAGGTGTTAATGCCTGCAGAGTCACATGGGATAAGTCCTGGGGACAGAGGCTTAGAAGGCCACAGACACACCCAGCCGAGAAGGCCGGTGGCCTTGCCCCTTCCCTCCTTTCTTCACCACAGGTGTTCTTCAGGGCCAGCAGGAGCCCAGCAGATGGTTCTCATGGAACAACTAGGGGCTTTCTAGCTGTCCCTTCCTGTTTGGTTCTTCTTTTTGCAATGGGGGTCAGAGAGTGAAACTATGGGGACTGATGGCAAAAGAAGGCGTGTCTTCCTGATACCAAACTAAGTGTCTTGTTCGACTGTTTTATGGCAGAGGGTTACAGAAGTAACTCTAAGTGGACTCTAGATTCTTAGATTTGAAAGCTGTCCAGTCTGGGTGAGGATTTCGCTGGAAAGTGCCCTGGCTGGAAGTCGGCAGTTCCACCATTCATTTCATCCTCCCATTTCTGAAAGTCCCACAGGCGGTCAGGAGCATGGACTAGTGAGCCAAGCCACCTGGGTTCACACGGAACTCTGGCAGCCTGTGTGCCCTGAAGCCAGTCACTCCAATCCCCTGGGCCTCCAAGTCCTCAACCCTTTAACAGGGACAAAATCAGCACGTATCTCTTAGGATTGTTATGAGTACGAACAAATTAATCCTTATAATGTTCTTAAAACAGCACCGGACACAGAATAAGCACTTTAAAAAGTTTCATGTTTATATTGGTTTATTTTGTTACATTTACAAAACAATAACCAGCATTCATTGAGCATCCCTACGTGTCAAGTGCTGTTCTAAGCATTTTTACTCGTGTTAACTCTGCCCTGGGATGGGATGGGATGGGATGGGCTGAGCTGGCTAAGGCAGCCTTGCTGACTGTGGGAAGCAGACAGCTGGGGTCAGTGCCCAACGCTGGGGACAAGGCCCCGCTCTACCCACCCCCACCCCCTCACAACCCCCGCTGGGTACCTGGGTCCCACAGATGAAGCGAACAGAGCTGAGGCCAGCTCCAAACTCCTCCAGGGCCTGCAGACCTGCCTGGATGACCTCGGGGTGGCTGCTCAGGCCCAGGTAGTTGTTGGCACAGAAGTTAAGGATTCCTGAGGTGGAGGGAACAGACACAGCAGCTCAAGGCCCTAAGGAAAGGCCTGGAAAGGTGCCAGGCCCTGGTGACCCAGAAAATACATGAACCCAGATTCACCCTTGAGGAGGCAACAATCACACAGAATGACCCTTCTGGGGCAGAGGCCGGGACGAGGATCTGGGGGCCCCTGGGAGGCACCGGCTACAGGAGAGAAAAGGTCAGGAAAGGACACTCATGGTGGCACCTTGAAGAGTAAGAAAATTAAACTCTGGCTCTGAATCACATTCCCCCCAAAGGAACAACCCAGCCCTGCCTCGCAGGCCTGAGGACCACTAGCAACCCATCATCCGGGCCTTGGTTTCCCCCTGGGTAAGAGGGCTTCCCACTGTGGTCCTAGAACTCCACAGTTAACTCTGCTGCTTGGTATAGAATCACAGGCCCCAAAGCGGGGGCCTCTGAGGCCTGGACTATGAATTACAAAGCCTAAAGAGAACACAGCTGACCCAAGGAAGAAACGGAGGCCTGAGAAGGAAGGTTTACTCAGCCCAGGAAAGGCACACGCAAGATGAGTACTGCGGTCTCCTAATTTCCCATCTTTTTGGCCTGCTCCAAGCTTCCCCCGAGGGGAGGTAGAGATTTCCTGGGACCTCAATTTTACAATTGAGTGCCACAGCACTAAATTGTATTCCATGCCTACTTCCTGGGCAGAAGACGGCGGTGGGGACCTTTGTAACCAGCACCCATTTGGGACCTGGCACAGACAAAGGGGCAGTGACTGCTGGTTAGACAGGAATGAGACCAGCTGTGCCAATTCATGGTGTGATTCCTGCAGCACTCCACCAGTCCCTTGCTCAGTGATGTTGGCCTCTCAGGCTCATTCATTAGCTGGCCTTCCAGCTCCAATACACCAGAGGCCTGCACCAAAGCCCAGCTCTGCCTGCAGCTGGCTGGGGGCTTTGGGGCCCCTCACTTCACACCTATGAGCCTTTTCGTTTGTAAAGTGCAATTAGTCATTTCAACGTTTGGAGGTTTGCAAGAGTCCACATGCAGCAGTTAGGGGCGCACACAAGACAGCAGCACCAGAAATGTAGAGTTTCTTGCTGTGTCTTCCCATCACCCTTCTTGAAGGGACCCAGCTGGGTTTGTCTTTTTTTCTCACGTTCTCCCAGGGTTGGGCCTCTCCCTCCCTGCCTTCTGAGGCAAACAGGTGCTCAAGGGCAAATCACCTCCCTTCAGGGAAACGGGTTTAACCAGGTTAGCAGGCCACGTGGTAGTCCTGCTAGCTGGAAAAGGGGCCAGTGGCTACGTGTGCAGGGGGTCTCGCCTCCCACTGCCTCCAGAACCTCCGTTCAGCTACAGCCTCAGAACCGCCCTCTAACACCCGGCCACGTCCGATGACTCCCGGGAGGGGGAGTTACCTTCGGAGACGCCGTCAACGTGGATGCGCGGCCCCTGGCGCGACGTGATGACCCGCTCACTCTTCCAGGTGCCAGCCCCGCGGATCCCTTCCAGCTGCTCTTCCAATATGCCACGCAGCTGCGCCAGCGCTGAGTGCGCGCGGCGGCTGCCGGGGGCTCGGGAGAGCGCGGCGCGAACAGAGCCGGCCCACATCACGCTCACCTCATTTACCTCGCGCGAGGGCGACTGCTTGTCCCACTGCACAGCAAACCGCGACCTGGTCACGTGGCTGGGGGCTGGGTCCCGCCAGCCAATCAGAGCAAGAGGAGCTCCCTGGAAGGCATGCAAAGGCGGGCCCATGGGCAGGTGGGCGGGGCCGGGCAGGAGGCGCAGCGGACGAAAGTGGATTGATTTGTAAGTTGAGACTGGAGAGGTCCGTGAAGGGGAAAAGGGAGGCAACGAGGCAGGGCCCAGCCCATCGGACCCCAGAGCCCATTCCCATCCCCTGCCTACACACCCATCTCGGTAAAAGGGTGCTCTGGGTCCCAAAGGCAGCAGTCGGAGGCACGTTCTATCCCCTCCAGCCCCAAGGTTTGTTTCTGCGGAGCTCTTGGAACGTTCCCTCCCTTCTCAGGTGCAAACGCTCCCCGATTTCCCCCTACTAGTCGTCCGATTGCTCTGCCTTCTAGTCTTATAAGTGAGGAAAAACTGCCCAGATTTTGTCCTTTTTCAGTTTTTATTTTAAAGTTTTAAAATTACAAAGACAGCAAATTCTTCCCGGCACGAATAACACTTTTTTTTTTTTTTTTTTACAAAAAAAGGGGGGAGGGTTACGACGCGCAATCGCGTGCTTTCCTATATTATGAGGAAAACGACTGTACAGGTTTTTTTCTCCCAGCTCCCGGGTGTGAAACTAAAGTGCTAGCTCTAGATAGGTATATACACATTTACACGCACATACACAGACCTAGCTCTGTAAAACTACTTAGCGATTGAAAAACGACTGCAGTATGTCTTACTGTCCACTCCCCGCCCACTACCCCTCCCCCATCTACCACTACTTAGAAAATACTCAGAAATAAGAGGTCGGGAAGTTTTTAAGTGGCGGTGGCAGTGCTGGAGACTCTCCAGACCACCAGAGCCACCTCTTGTACAGGAGGAACCAAAAACCAGGGGAATACAATCCAATTGCGTGGAAAAACCCAAGTTTCAACAGGGCTCACTGAGGCACTTGGCTGACTGACTCCCCACCCTTCCCCCAAAGTTTCCACTCCCATAACAGGAGACTTTCCGAAGCCACAAAGACCCCCCCCCCCCCCCATGGCTAGTTTCCAGCTGAGAGAAGCCACAGATTCTCAGACCAGCTGTCATTCTGACACCCCCTCCCTTCCCCAGGACAATAGGGAGGCCACAGGGACTAACAAAAGTGTGAAACTGCACTTGGATTCCCGCCCCCCCCCCCCACTGCTCACCCCATTGGGAGGTGGAAGTCAGCCCAGAGGGTGTATTCCACCTCCCTACTTGGTGTCCAGCTGCTGCCACCCCTCTCCTCCCCAACAAGGTTCTGAAACTCACATGGGCTCTTCAACTTAAAGCTCACTTGTCTTAAAAGATACTCCTACAAACCTTACAATTCCTGGGCTCCCTCTCTCAACTAGCCAGAATAAACTGCCTTCTGGATTTTCCCCCTTTCACCTTCATATCGACAAACCATCCAACTAAACAAAACATACCAACCCACCCCAAACCCTAAGTAGATTAATAACAAATTACCAGAACAAAATATTTCTCATCACTACAGAGATGAGATTGTTTTTGCTGTCCTTGCACGACTGGTTAAAGAAAAATGAACTATTTCCTAATTTCTGAGGAATCCAAATTCTGTCTCCCATATAGTCAGAATACAAAGGGGCAAGGGATTGCAGATGAGGAATAAGAGAAGGAAAAAAGTATTTACAGAAAATAAGGAGACAGGCAGGAGTGTCCACAAGAAAGGCTTCACTGTCACTTCTTCTTGTTGGCCCTCTTGGCACTGGACTTGGCTTTGGGTTTCACTGGTTTGGCCTTCTTAGGCTTGGATGCCTTTACTGGCTTGGCCTTGACAGTCTTGGGTTTTTTGGTTTTCTTGGGCGTGGCAGCCGGCTTCTTCTTGGCCTTCTTGACTGGGGTTGCTTTGGGCTTCTTGCTGGGGGCTTTGGAGGCTGCCTTCTTGGGTTTGGCTGCCTTCTTTGGCGTGGCCACCTTCTTGACTTCCTTCTTCGTTTTCTTGAAGGCCACTGACCTTTTAGGCTCATCGCTCTTGGCCAGCCGGAAGGACCCCGAAGCACCCACTCCTTTGGTCTGCTTGAGGACCCCGGTAGTAACTAGGCGCTTGATGGACAACTTGATCTGCGAGTCGGCGTTCTCGCCCACCTTGTAGTGGCTCTTGATGTACTTCTGGATGGACTGGCGAGAGGAACCAGCGCGGTTCTTCTCCGCCTGGATGGCAGCCACGATCATGTCTGAGTACTTGGGGTGGTCTGTGGACTTCTTGGAAGCCTTGGCCCGCTTGGGCTTGGCTGCAGGAGTAGACGTGGAGTTTTCAGTCATGCTGGGCCGCCTGGTCTTGCTGTTGAAGAAGGTGCCTTCAAAAGGGCCAGCACCCGTCGGAGGCCAAGCAAAGCCTGACTCGGGATCGGCTTTCGCGTCCCTGACTCTCAGGCCAGTCCCAAAGCCTGGCTCTCTGGGACCTGGCTCGCGTCGCGGGAGGATTCACCGGGCCGGTTCTGCGTGCCCAGCCCCGCCGGACGGTCTGTTTCTGTGTGCGGCTGCGACTCTGGCCCTGGCTTTGGTGCTGGCTTTGGTGCTGGCTTTGGCGCTGGCTCTGACACCGCCTCCGCTGCCTCTCTTTTTCCCAGCTCCGCGTCTGGCGCTCAGGCGGCGCATCCGGGTATTTAGCGGCGGCGGGCGGACCGCGGTGAGGACAGGGCTGCTGGCTGCCTGCTCCCGGCCCGGAATGGCGCTGCGCCGCCGCCATCTGTGTTTCTTCCGCCGAGCAAATCCGACCTTTCTCCCCGCCCCGGGCCTTCCCGCTCCCCGCCGCCGCCCGGGGTCGCTGCCCGGCTCCCTGGGCTCCCCCGCCAGGCGGCCTGCCGGCCGGACCGCCGCCCCCCGAGCTCGCCAGGCGCCCCAAACGGCGCTGAGGACCGCTGGGGTGCCGGCACATTTCCCCTTTGCTGGGGGCTGGCTCTGTGGGGCCGGGGAGCCCCGGTGCGGAAAACCCCCCGTAGCAAAGCTCCCCCCCTGGTGCTACCGGGGACACCGCTCCCGGCCCCCTGCGGGGTCCCCCAGCCCGGCGGAGTGGCCAGAAAGCGGCCCCAACTAACACACGCGGCCCCGAGACGGGCGACTCCCAGCCGGGCCGAGCCGGGACAGGGGGGAGGGGTCGCTCCCCCAGGGTCCGGTCACCTCTCGGGGGTCATCCCGCCACCGGGCTCCCCGCACCTCTAACCCCTCTCTGTCCATTGGGCCCCTAAGCAAACTTTCCTTGGAAGAGTTGTAAGGGGACTTTCAAACTTTGTCCCTTCCCCCTCCTCTATGGGCTCCCCCCCAGCGGGCCCCCTGACCTCTGCAGTGGAGATTCTCTCCTGAGACCGAACCCCCAATGCTTCCAGGGTCCCCTGAGGCAGTGAGGAGGGGTCTCCCTAGTCCCCTGCGGTCCTTAAAGACCCCCACATCTCCCGTATATCCTAACATGGAATTCATTTATATGCCATCCTCAGCCTAGGAGTTTGGGGGTGTTACAGACAAAGCTCGCTGCCCCCACCCCTGAGGCCCAGCCTGGGGGTCCAGTCGCCGTCCCAAGGACCCTCCAAGACGGGGGTCTCAGAGGCTGAGGACCACATTGAAGGAACTGCCCCACAGGCTCTCACCAGAGGCTGTCCTGGGGGCCCCTGGGATGAAGAAAGCTCTGAGTGCCTTAGAACTTCGGAAAACAGGGCTCTGGGGGAGAGGTCGAGGAAGGGGGTCTCGTTCCTTGGGCACTAACTAATCCTCGGGAAGTGTGTGGTCGTTAAGGGAACCCGGGCCGGGACCACCGCCATTTTGCTGGGAGGATGCAATGCCTTTGTTAAAATGTGAACATCTTTTCCTGTACTTGGCAGGTATGGATGAGACAAATATGGGGCGCCACCGTCTTTAGGGAGTCTGGAGGGGCTCTGAGGGGATTTAGGGGCCCTCAGGCCAGCAGAAGGGACCCCAGAACTCCTGGGACAGAGCACCTTTTTTGCAACAGACATCCTACTTATATGCAGGGTCCCGCTTGGCAGGGGCCCTGGCTTGAGATTCTGGGATGCTCGCTCCCTAAGCCACATCCCACAACAAGCCCGCTTTTATTGCCTAAGCAGAAGCCCATCATTCATTTCAAACAATACCCTGGGACCCTGGGGCGGTGGTGGGGGAGTGGTATGGGGGGATTATAGCTGGTCAAAATGATGAACGTGTCTCCTGTACTGCCCGGGAGCTGTTTGCAGACACTGGCTGTGGAGAAGGTTGGAGGGTTTAGGTGCGGGTCAGGGTCTTAGTAGGGATAGAGGGGAGGGAGGAAAGGGCTCATACTGGACTTGGGTGTCTCTGAGGCCAGGGAAATAAATGGGTTCCCCACCCCCACCCCAAGGGATGGATTAATCCAAATGATTGGGGGAAGGAGGGGGGAGACCCGAGACTTGGTGTCAGATGCCTTCTCTCTAGGCTTCTCTTGGTGGCGCAGGTGGGGAAGGGAAGCATGAAGGGCCAGGTCAGTTCAAAAGGTTAAGTTCTTATTTGTTGATATCCATTACCCGGAAGTTTCCTGATTTGAAAACCCAACATTCTGGTGGGTTTGTGTTGGTTAGTTTGAAAGACAATTCTCCAGTTCCCACTAAGGTCTGGATGGGGAAATAGGTGTCCAAATAGACATCCCCAAGTCCCAGACCTTCCAACCCTGCGCTTTCGGAGGCGTGTCACGCTCCCCCCTCCCCTCACCTCTGTGCACTTCTTAGAATCGGTACTGGGTGAATCCAATGACACAATGATGAAATAATTTTATTTACACAGCACATTACAGTTTGCAAAGTGCTCTCCGCACGTTTCTTGATTCTTTGCACCTCCAGCCTGGGGAGGCAAGCAACATGATTACCACCCCCGTTACCCGCCCCTTTCCTATAGAGGCCGAGGAACTCGTTAGGATGCAGGGGTGGGGAGGACGGGGAGGAGGGTGGCTCACCGTGAGGTTTAGCTTCTTCAGCTTTTTGCGGTCACATCCCTATCCCCGCCCATCCCAAGGACCTGTACATTCTCTCCCGGAGCTAAAGCCAGAAACGGGACGGAGGGGTCGCGGGTGCCTCCCGCCTGGTGGCAGAATTCGCCGCACGTACCCCTGTTCAGGAAAATTGAGGGGAGGGGTGGGGACGGTCCGGAAGAGGTTCCTCCAGAGTTGGGTGCAGAGTCCGAGGCCGAGGAGGGCAAGATGAGGAGAGGCTGCCTCCAGATTAGCTTGGCCGCACCTCGCCTCTGCAGACCCTGGGGGCTCCCTGATTCCCCCACTCGGGCACCTGGAAGGCTGCTCTGCGGACCCTATTTATGGATCGAAGAGCCGTTTTCTCGCCGGCAGGCGGCGAGCCCTTTAAAATCCCGGAGCCGCAGAGATGCGGGCAACTCCTCCTGGGAAATGTAGTCTCCCGGCGGGCGCCGAGCCCCGCACTGCGCCCCCAGCCCAGGACCCTCGTGAAGCTCCGAACCGCTGGTCCCCCCAGCTCGGGCCTGGGGAAGAGATCAGACATCTTTCTCGTCCAGTCGCGCGCAGAGAGGCCCAAGCCTCCTTGCTGCTTTTTTCACCTGTCAAAAAGGGGGCTCTACCTACTTGTGGGGTCGGGGTGAGATTGAAATGAAGTCCTGTATGGAAAAGTGTAAATCGCATAGAATGCCAGGGGTCATGTTTTTGCTAATGTGTGTGTGTGCAGGCGTCGGCATTTATTGAACCCTTGATCCGTAGCATCTTCATTTTTCAGGGAGAGGGTCTAGAAGGGCTCAAGGACTGTCAGAGGGTGGGGGCAGCCTGCCAGAGGGTGACTGCCAACAGACACCCAAGCCCTGACTCTCCCACCGCGCCACCTGTGGTGTCCTAGACCTTGTAAAATGGCACTTTTTTGGGGTTTTGGAACCCTAAGGAATTCACTTGCTATGTGTCAGATACTGGGATAGGACCTTTTCAAGTTAACCAATCTGAAGCAGTCCTTATGCCAAGGAAACATATGTTGGGGCGACAAATTCTGTTCCCCCGCAGCTCCTAGGTTACTGTTACTGAATACTGCGAGCAACTGCAACTCAGCGATGAGCATTTGTGTGACATTTTACGCATTACTGCTGTTCAGTGGAGGCACTAGGGGGTCGTTTTTCAACTCCATTGTAATCCATGGTGTCACTGTCGTATTGGCCATCCCCTCAATGGCTCCGGGGCTATTACAGGGCCCATGACTGTATTCAGGCTTTTTCTAAGCAGAGAAAATTTTGCCTTGCAGCGTGCCAGGTGAAGCCGGAGAGCTGTGGCTGGCCTCTGCTTTTTACTCTGAGGAGAGGCAGGAGAGGAATAAATCACCCCGTGTACAGTCTCCTGCTGCTGCTGTAACAAATAGCCCCAAACTTGGCGGTCTGAAACAACACGTATTTATTATCTTACAGTTCCAGAGGTCAGTAGTCCAAAATAGGTCTCCCTGGGCTAAAATCAAGGAGTAGACAGGTGTGCGTTCCTTCTGGAAGCTCTAGGAGAAGGATCTGTTTTGTGCGATTTCCAGCTTCCAGAGGCAGCCTGCATTCCTTGGTGGGTGGGCCCTTTCCATCGTAAAAGCTGTCGCCAATCTGCTGAATCTTTTTCATGCTGCCATCTCTCTGGCTCTGACTCTTCCACCCCCCACTTCCCTCATTTAAGGGCCTCCGAGATTCCACGGGACTACCAGGGTGATCTCCCGGCTCAGGTGTCCGTCGGTGCGAGGCCTTAATTCCCCCCTGCCGAGTGGCATAGCATATTTCCAGGTTCCAGGGATCGGGACACGCATCTTCGGGGACCATTGCTCTAAGTCCCACACGCGGTGTGCTCCGTGTGCATCACCAGGCAGGGGCTGGGGCGTGAGCAGCATCCCCCCACACCCGCCGTGACCCTGGTGAGGCCCAGCTCACAGCCTGGGCTGTCCCCGTGCTCTGAGAGATCCCTGGTTGGGCAGAGAGCAGCAGGCAGGGCGGGCGCTTTCCAGTCACCTCGCGGCAGTGTGACTGGTAGGGACGGGGGATATTGTGAAAACCCCTCGGCTGGACTCTGTTATATTCCTTGTGTCCCTAAATACCCATCGCTTTTCCATTTAAATAGTGTAAGTGACACCTAGCCAGGAAGGGGTAAGGGGTAGTCCCCCAGGCAAAGAGTAACCCCAGGACCTTGGTGAGAGAGGAGACCCAGCCCTCCAGGGCGTAGTGTCCATCCCTCTCTAGTAGTGAGGAGATTACTCTGCTGGCCTCTCCTTCTCCCACATCCCCATCCCTCCATTTCCAGGTCTTGCCCCCTTTTCCTCCGGAACCCTGTTCTCCTGTCTGCCTCGTTTTCCCATTGGCCTCACCCCACTCACAGAATGTGAGCCCCAGCTCACACTGTACAACGCAAAGCCCTTCAGCAGTGGAGGAGGCTTGGGAGGGCCCCAGAATGGACCAGTCCAGTGGGGAGGCCGGACGGCATCAATACCAGTGCAAATCTCTATTGTTTCAAGTTCTGAGAACAAAGGTGACAGGGGGCTCTAAGAGGGGCTGACAGGCAGGCTTGTGTAGATCCGGTGCTGGAGTAGGCTTTGTGGCCGGGTGTGAACAGGGGAGGGGAGAGTGGCGTGAGGTGCCCTCGGAGAAGTGAACCCACCCGAG